GCAGAACCAGCAGCCAACTCGAGTGCAGAAGTCGGGGTTAAGTGGGCGAAAAGGGCGGCGAGAACATTGTTGTCTTCGGCAAGGGCGGCACCTGAGGAATGGCCAATGGCGGTCGCCCACGCTGCAGCAAAAAGGAAGCAACGACTTCTTCGACCAGGAGATCCACATCTCCCTGCGTTTGGGCAGGAAGTATGGTTTCGTGCGAAGACCTATGTGGGGGCAAAAGAAAGCGCGGCGCTTAAAGATGAGAACAAGGATGTCCCGCCAAGGTGGAGGAGAGGTTACTATCGTGGTCCGGCAGGTGATGTACCAAATGGACACTTGGTGATGAGATCCGATGGGGGCCTTCTGATTGCAAAGGGCATTCGAGCAGGGCTTGTGGATCCGACAACGATAGAGCCGGCACTTCTTCCTGAGCTTCGTGCTGAAGTACCGGAGTTTATCCCACCGACGAGAAGAGCGAGGAAGAAAACAACTTTGGGGGAAAAGGAGCAAAAGGAAGATGAACCTCTTCAAGGCTTATCTCCACCCGAAAGGTACGCCAAGGAGATTCTGGATAAGAATGTTCCGGTCACAAGAGATGAAGTGGAAATGCTTTCTGCTCTACTACCCCAACAAGATCTTCCTCGAGATGTCCTTCCTTTGCCAGACGAGGAGATGTGATCTCCCAAGTCATGGGGCGCCGGAGCCTACATACATGGTGGGGTGGCTGGTGTGAGACGATCGACTACCTTGTTCCCGTACTCCACGAAGGTCCTCACGAAGTTCGTCAAGGAGGCCGATCCTACCCACAAGTTCAATGCGGTGGCCTTGTTCAGGAACTGTCGGGTACGTTTGCACAAGGACTCGCACAACTCCAGGGATGAACCCTCGATGTTGGTCCCAGTAACATCGTTTGAGGGAGGTGAGCTATGGGTCGAGGGCGAGCCTGAGGAGGGGATGGAGAGCTATGTGCACAAGGAGGGCAACGAGGTGATGAATGGCTTTCTTCTCCACCCTGCCAATGGATTGGTGAAGTTCGACTCAAGAAGGAGGCACATGGTGCTTCCATGGAAGGGAGAGAGGATTGTGATTGCTGCCTACAACATAAGAAGCGAGGAAAGGCTGAAGGAGGCAGATGTTACCCTGCTCGCTGCTGCTGGCTTCAACGTGTGCAATGAGAACCGGAGCAACGTTGATGTAGAGGGCAACGATGAGGCAAGGGCAGTGGTGCCAGAGATCTCCAAGATGATGAGGGTGTTCGAAGAGATTCCTGAGGAGGAGCTACCGAAAATCAAGAAGGCCGCTCCAGAGAACATCTACACTGAGAACGTGGAGGAAATCTTGAAGGGTTTGAATGACGATTTGAAGGTGGTCCACACGGTTCGTCAAAGCGAGGTCATCAACCACCTGGACTGCTGGAAGAAGTCGATGGAGAAAGAGATCCAAGCGTTGGAGCAGTCAGGAGCGATTCGTCGACTTCGTGGAAAGGAAGCAGCTGCAGTGATGAGAGGGGGCGAAAGGACGATGGTGCATGGCAAATGCGTGTACACTGTCAAACCTCCGGATCATCAAGGGCAAGGCTACAAAAGGAAAACCCGAATCGTGGCATGTGGGAATCAAGTCGAATCGTCACACCTGGACCAGTCGGAGCTTTACTCTGCAGGTGCTACATCAGACCTTGTCAGGATAGTCCTGGGCGAAGCAGGGGCAAACTCCTGGGATGCAGCAGTGGATGATGTGAAGTCGGCGTTTCTGTCGGCACCGATTCCTGACAGCCCGTCAGGAAAACCACGTTATGCCCTCAAGCCTCCTCGTGTCCTTCAGTTGGCAGGCCTGGTGGAGGAGCAGGAAGCATGGGAGGTGGATACCGCGCTGTACGGATTTCGGCAGAGTCCGAAGTGGTGGAGTGACTTTAGGAATGCCAAGGCCAAGCATGCTGAGTTTGATGCAATTTGTGATGGGAAGAGGGTTCGAGCGGAGCTGAAGGTGTGCAAGACCGACCCGAATCTTTTCAAGATCGTTACCAAAGCGACCTCCAGTTCTACCATCACGAATCCCAAGGCGACTTCCAGTTCTACCATCACGAATCCCGAGGCGACTTCCAGTTCTACCATCACGAATCCCAAGGCGACTTCCAGTTCTACCATCACGAATCCCGAGGCGACTTCCAGTTCTACCATCACGAATCCCGAGGCGACTTCCAGTTCTACCAACACGAATCCCGAAGGTCTTCCGAAAGTCCGTGTCCTTGGTGCTTCTGGGTCCACTATGAGTCCTGAAGGCTTATGCCACTACGAGTCCGAGGAGGGGTCCACCATCTTAGGGTACGTGCTGTTCTATGTGGACGACATGCTGTGTGTGGGTGAGACTCAGACTGTATCGGGCTTTTACGAGTGGCTAAGAAGCGAATGGGACACCAGCGGTGTGCAGTGGATCACAAAGAACAATATGGTGAGGTTTCTGGGCATGGAGTTGACAAGGGTCGACACTGGCTATGTGATGAGCCAGCAAGGGTACCTAGATGAGATCATTCGTGCTCATGAATGCGGTGGCCATGGTGTGATTCCCGCTGGAAAGGACCTGCTGGTGGTGGGGACAAACTTTCCGGATCCACAGCACTTGGACACCAAGGAGATCAAAGAAGCGCAGCAGAGGTGCGGCGAGCTGTTGTGGACAGTGCAGAAGACGAGGCCCGATGCTTCCTTTGCAGTGACGATCTTGGCATCGTTAACCACTCGGGATCCAACCAGGGCCAATGTCATCGCGAAAAAGATCTTGAATTACTTCAACTCGACGAAGGAGTGTTCGATGATGACAGGTGAGATCGAGTGCCCAGGAGGGGAAAAAACACTAACCCTCTTTACAGACGCATCCTTTGCTCCGGAGGGCGAAAGATCGCATGGTGGGGCATTGGTGGTGTGGAGAGGCACTGCAATTACCTGGCGGTCGTGGAGGCAGGGAATGACAACTTTGAGTTCGGCGGAGAGTGAAGTTCTCTCAATAACCGAAGGAGTGCAGCTCATGCTAGCTGTTCGGGCAACGTTGATGGACATGGGCCTTGGACCAGTTCAGTGCCAAGTGATGGTCGACTCGACAGCGGCCATTGCGATTCTCCAAGGGGATGGGGGTTCGTGGCGAACTCGCCATTTGAAGCTGAGGTACCATTGGTTGAGGGAGCTGGAACGAGATCAAGTTCGCCTCATCCATTGCCCAGGGGACTGGCAGTTGGCAGATGTCTTGACAAAGCAGGTACCTTCAGTTCGCCTACGACACATGATGCGTTTGTGGGGAATGAGGGGTGCTGGGCTAGACATGGGGCCAAGAGTAAGGATGCTACAGCCAGAACCTGAAGGTGAAGACCTTGAGCCGCCGTTGGAAGAATGGTTGGAGAATCCAGAGCACGACGAGTTGCAGGCTATGATCGGTTCGGATGTGGAGCCACTTTTTGAACCGAGGGGAACGGGTTCTTCGGAGTCTTTGGGTCCGAATCACGACAACGCCTACTATGACAGGGTGGCTCGACGCTACTTTGACGAGTACTATGCCGAATGGGTTTCTTCACCGGAGCCATCGCCGAGACAGCAAGTGAACCAAGGAGAGCTGCAGCAGCCAGCAACATACCAGCATGAGACAACACAGCAAACAACAGGACCCTCGTACACCTTGACTTGGGGTCTTAGGTTGGGTTGGTTGGTGAGTCTTTTCTGCTGTGTTAAGGGAGAGGGCGACAATCTTGCACTGGGTTTGGAGCGCTATGACTTGGAAAGGTTGCAAGCTGGTTTGGAGGTTGCAGCACCCTGGGACTTGTATATTGCAGTGATGATAGTGGCGATAGTGGCGATTCTGGTTTGGGAATGTGTAAGAGGCTGTGGAAGGGAAGTGAAAGACCTTGTGGCAATCAGAGCTATGAGGTTACCACCAAGGGCGTCGCATCCGTTGAATAGGGCGGAGCTGAGGAGACTGCAGGCACTGTTGAAGCGAGATATGATGTTGTTGAGTGAGCTGGAGAGAAGGGAGATGTTGGAGCTGGGTGCAAGGTTCCAGCAAAGTGATGGTGGAGGCTCTTCAACAAACGCTCAAGTGCAAGATCAAGGCGGAGCGGCTTCGTTTTCTGTCGATGGGTTGGTGGTTTCTGCCGGGAAGGTAGAAGCTTCAGTCCAAACAGATCCCTATGTCCCTTCGGCGACGCGGTTGCAGCCTTCCCAGGAACCAGTTCGCATCCGTGTGATCGAGACGGCTTACAACGGGCCGTACTACATGTCAAGCAGTGGGTCGACAGTTCATACAACACCTGACTGTTGGGGATTGAGAAACGTGTAAACTCCATTGTCGAGGACGCTCTGCCAGGTGTGTGAACGAAGGGCCCGTGAAAGTGCAATGGGAGCAAGCTGAGCTCGGATCAGCGTTTATCAAGAAGGCAAGCTGGGCCGAAACCAGCTTTTATAAGGAATTCACCTTGGTGCAATCAGTTTTTGGGGCGAATGTATAGGAACCTGGTGATCTTCTCCTAACGGAGAGATCAAGGAGGGGTGAAGATGTGCCCTACTGGTGGCCAAGGTGTGGTGCACAGCGGATGGCCGTTCCGGCCCGAACGTCGAAGGCCTTGATGGCCGACATGTGGATAGGGCCGACAGGGCCAAGTGCAAGCAAGGCCTGTAGGGCCAACTACAAGTAGACATGCAAGCAGCAAAGCAGAAGTACAGATTGTGCTGTGGTGCAAAACAAGTGAGCCCTGCATTGAAGCCATGGACATGCTACATCGGAGGCCTGGGTCCACCCTTTCTTCATCTGATAACCCCGCTCAGCCTGTGGGCACCGTCCCACATGGGACTAGGGTTTCGGGTTCAGGGTTTAGGGTTTAGGGCTTAGCGTTTGGAGCTTAGGGCGGGTTTAGGTATAGAAACCCTAAATCCCATACCCTACAAACCTGGTACCCTGAACCCTGAAACAACCCCCCCCCCGCAGGCTCTAAATCCAGAAGCCCATCCCTGCTGTAAACCTTTATCGGCTTACGGGAGGACCTGAAGCACTATGCAAGCAGCCTGCGCGAGACCTCCGTGCGAGAGGAGGAGAGAACCGGGTGTACTCGGAGGTTCATGTGGGGAGTTACGAATGGGGCCCGCGCGTATAAGTGGGGTCATGATCGTAAACATCGGGTTCTTGACGTGATTTTGGTGGGCCCTGCAAAAACCCGAGGATCTACACATAGGGTTTCGGTTTAAGGTTGACTTTACGGACCAGGTGCGGTTTTAGGGTCTGTGCTTGAGCTCCATCACCTCCCAAACGAACACATTCCAGACACAAGGCATTGCTGTTGCGGATGAGTCTCAGCTTGTACTAATACCTTTCAGCCGAGGAACAGCCCTCTACTCGCACCTCTCCCTTAATCACGTGTGGGACTCAGGGGTTAGGCTTCGTCCAAAAAGCCCCTACTTCTAAGTACCTCCAACCCCTAAACCCTAAACCCCAAACCCTAAACCCTAAACCCCAAACCCTAAACCCCAAACCCTAAACCCCAAACCCTAAACCCCAAACCCTAAACCCTAAACCCCAAACCAACCCTAAACCCCAAACCCCAAACCCCAAACCCTAAACCCTAAACCCTAAACCCTAAACCCTAAACCCTAAACCCTAACCCCTACCTACAACCCTACGCCGAGGTACCCATGAAACCTCCAAAGACTACGCACCAAAACCCACCTGCAGCCCCTGCACTCCTCAAGGCAGACCCTGGAGCGTGCCCGAATGTAGGGTTTAGGGTTTAGGGTTTAGGGTTTAGGGTTTAGGGTTTAGGGTTTAGGGTTTAGGGTTTAGGGGTTTAGGGTTTAGGGTTTAGGGTTTAGGGTTTAGGGTTTAGGGTTTAGGGTTTAGGGTTTAGGGTTTAGGGTTTAGGGTTTACGGGGTGGGGTTTAGGGTAGTTTAGGGTACATATATTGCAGGGTATGCAAAAGGCAGCCCTACCTTATTCGACCTTTGGGTTCGCCGACTACTGGGTTCTGGCGCCTTATTCTGTCTGGTTGTTGTTGCATTTAGTGGAAGGCGTAGCCGCTTTGCAAAATGCACGCCTTCAGGTTCTTCAAAGTACTTGTCTTAAACTCACGGTTTTGGGCTTTCACTGCGATGTCTGCATGGCAGGCCTCAAAAGAGGCAGTTGCAAAGATACACACTTTGTCCATTGGCACGAACGGTTCGCTGCTTCTGTGAAGGGGAAGCCAACAGTTTTGTCTGCGGCTGGGGCCAAAAGATCTCTCGAGGTGATTAGTGCCAGGCGGGCCATAGACCCCCCACGTCATCCAGGACCCATTGTGCCCGGAATTTGACGACTTCGTGTTTGCAACGCAAGAGGGTTACCCACAAGGTCCGAAATGGGCGCAACAAACCCCCCTAGCCCATCCACACCCCTGCCCCCCTCCCTCCTCTCCCCTTCTCCCCTCCCCATTCCCCCCCCCCCCCCCACCCCTCACCCCCAAACACAGCAGCAGAGAAGCAAACCAAAAACAGAAGAAACCAGCAGGAAAACAAATGACACGACCAACAGCAGAAGAAACCTGCAGGAAAACAGAGGAAACGACCACGCAAATAAAGCACCACGAGCGCTTGCCCGACAATGCTCGAACCCCAAAACCCTAAACCTTACACCCTAAACCCCAAACCCTAAACCCTGAACCCTAAACCTCAAACCCTGAACCCTAAACCAACCCTAAACCATTCAACAGGAGCTCACCAGGCACATGGCGCAGCGCCTTCGAACCTTGGAGGAGAGGCTGGCCACACTGGAGAGCGAGGACGGTGCTGGGGTTAGGGTTTAGGGTTTAGGGTTTAGGGTTTAGGGTTTCGGGTTTAGGGTTTAGGGAGGGCTCTAGAGGGTGTCCAGCGTGTCTAGGATGTCTGGGACAGGTGCTTGTGAAGACTTCTGGCTGGCGAGGGTCTGAGAATAATTGCGACAGGGTTCAGGGGGTTCAGAGTTTAGGGTTGCGATGTTCCCCCCTTATACCAACAGTCCTCAATAGGTAACATCGCACCCCCTCTTCTAATCCCTAAACCCTAAACCCTAAACCCTAAACCCTAATCCCTGTTAACTAAGGGGGAACATCCCAAGTTTAGGGTGTTGAGGGCTATTAGTGTTCACCCCTATACACTCAACCCCCTATTCCAAAACCTGTGCTGAGCCCACCCGAAACACTCCTTTGGGGGTGAAGGGTTTAGGGTTCAGGGTTTAGGGATAACTCCCTAAAGCCCTCAACCCGACAGCAGGATGCTGCAGCTGCTGTTCGGCGCCTGCGATGCTTGGATGCATTCTTCGCAGACGTCGTCATGTGGTTTCGTGCAGGTTTCAAGATTTCAAGGTGGGGCAAAGTCTAGGACCCGGAGTAGGCCCTTTATTGTCTTTTCTTAGGGTTGGGGTTCTCTTATAATTCCCTTTAAACCTAAAAACAGCTATTTGCTTAAGAACCCCCCACAAAATATATTCTTCCTGACACGGGTAATATCGGGACCCTTATTCTATCTATTTGGGGGGGCTCTCTTAAGCAAACAGTAGAAAAGGGCACCCTTTTTACTCCTAGGTTACTCCTGGGTCTAGAAATCAAGTTCAGCTCAGGGTTAGACTTGGAGGTTCATGGTAGAGAAGTAGGGTTATGAAGTACGTAGGGCAGCTATGGTTATAAGCTTATTCAAGGCACTTATAACCCTACTTCTAAGTACCCGTGAACCTTCAAGTAGGCTTTAGCGCTTAGAGTGTTTTAGGACATGTGGCAAGGCAGTTCACCAATGGCTAAACCCGCGGGGCAGCGCCCACACCCCTTGTGAATCTTGGAAGCACCGTTCTCTCACCAAGCCGTCGCTGAACGGCTACAAGCACGCAAGGCAAGGTACAGTAGCTAAAAAGGGGCAGATAGTTACACGCCTCTAGGTAAACCCTAAACCCCAAACAACTTGAAAGCGCATGTGCACCAAGTACCATGTGTAAGGCCAGGCGCCCCTAAACCCGCTCCCCGTAACAGGTAAGCGCCTAATCCCTAAACCCTAAACCCTAAACCCTAAACCCTAAACCCTAAACCCTAAACCCTAAACCCTAAACCCTAAACCCTAAACTCATCCAACTCATGCCCGCAGGCCCCTCTTCCCGCGCCCAGCAACCATCCACTGTAACTCTACTGGGAAGTCGAAGAAGGACGGGTTTAGGGTCAATGCCCTTCAACTCTTAAACCCGGAAGCTCACATCCTCTAAATCCTAATTTAGGGTTTAGGGTTTAGGGTTTAGGGTTTAGGGTTTAGGGTTTAGGGTTTAGGGTCTTACACCTGATGCATATGAAGCCCGAAAGCCTTTAAACCCCAAACCCGAAACCTTCTAGACCCTTTAACTCTCAAACCCTTAACCCCAGCCTGAAGTCTCCTCCCCAATGTCCAAAACAAGTTTACGAAAATCGGGACCCCGAAAGTAGACCCCGAATAGTAGGATTCCCTTATAAGAAGGACCCCCATAAGGTACCCCCCCTAATTTCGGAAATCCCAGACGGACAACTCATATCCTTCAATCTAAAGCCTGCCAAACCTACTATGTATTTGTTTAAGAACCCCCCCGCCTCAACAAAAAAATAAAATCAAATAAACATATTTTCTTTAAACGGGCAATATAGGGTTATTAGTTTAATTCTTTGGGGAGTTCTTAAGCAAATAGTAGAGGAACTGCAGGTCGCCAGTGGCAGGAGGACTTTCAGACACGACTCGACTCCTTAGAGGCCCAAAGCAAGCGCGGCTTGGCAGAAACGTAGGGTGTAGGGGTTTAGGGTTTAGGGCTAGGGTTTGGGGTTTAGGGTTTAGGGTTTTGGGGTTTAGGGGTTTAGGGGTTTAGGGGTTTAGGGTTTAGGGGTTTAGGGTTTAGGGTTTAGGGTTTGGGGTTTAGGGTTTAGGGTTTAGAGTCTTAGGGTTTTGGGGTTTTAGGGTTTTAAGGTTTAGGGTGCAAGGTTCAGGGTGGGGCCCGGGGATTCAAAGGGGTAGGACAAAGGTTGAAAGATCACGGGCTTCAGCCTTTGAGTTTTGAGGCCCAGGGTATGACGTTAGGGTTTTAAGTCAAGGGACTAAAGGAGGGACCGTAACAAAGGCGCCTTAGGGGTAATATAGGTGCGACATAGGCATAAAGGGACTTTTGAGATATTTTTAGGGGTTGATTATAAAATAAGGGGAAGAAGGGTAAGGGTCCCTTCTAAGGGTCCCTCCTTGTATCCCTGAAGTTAAGGATTGTTCAGGGTTATTCGGTCTTCTTCTGGTAGGGCTTAAGGGCTTAGAGGCATTCCTCTCTCTCTCTCTCCCTCCCTCTCTCCCTCTCTTGAGGGCTTGTAGGGTTTTTTGGGGCTTTCGCCCTAAGCCCTAAACCTAAACCCTAAACCCTAAACCTAAGGTATACTGGCCGATCTGTTGGGAAAGTTTTCCCACAACAGGGTCGCAAGAGGCGCTCTAGGAGTTTGTAGGAGTTAGGGGTTTGGCGGTTTAAAGGGTTTATGTCGTGTTTAAGGTTTTGGGTTTTAAGGTTCAGGCTTTAGAGACTCAGGGTTTTGGAGTTCTACACGAGGGTGCCAATCTTGGACCTAGTGACATGACTGTGTAGGCGGATTCGAAGGGATTGCGTGGTGGAGTTTAGACCCTGACCCTAAGCCCTAAAGGCCCAAAGCCCGAAGGACTTCTCCTCAGGCAGAGATTTGCGGAGCGACACGAATGACAGTTTCTGCAGCCTCGTCGAGGGCATCAAGGGGGAGGAAGGAACGCCAGAGTTCCTCCAGCAGCAGTTGGGCAGTTTCTGGGTCCGGCGGTTTTTGGACTTGGGTTTAGGGTTGAGGGTTTAGGGTGTAGGGTGCAGGGTGTAGGGAGGGAGTAGGGTTTAGGGTTTCAAGTTTAAAGTGGTGATGCTCCTTGTGTGCAACTTGACCCTTTGTAGTCTTGCTAAGACCTTGTGCGTCCTGGCGAAAGCCGCATTGCAGCAAAACCAAGAGCCACAATCCCTAAACCCTAAGCCCCTACAAGCCCTTAACCCTGAGTCCTAATCCCTCAGGCTCATCTGTTCTAAGGCACAAGTCAAGCTCGCCCGCTTGGAAAGTCAAGCTGCTCACGCCAAAAGATTTGGTGAGACGCCCTGGGCCTTCAACCCTAAACCCTCAGTCCCAAACCCTATACCCTAAAACCCTAAACCCCAAAACCCTAAACCCTGAAGCCTAAACCCTAAACCCTAAACCCTCAACCCTAAACCCTAAACCAGAAGCCTTGTTTCAGAACAATCTCGAAGCCCATGAGCCTATCGGCTGTGGCCAGGCTACCCGAGGCATTCACGCACGCGTTGCAGCGCTTGGAGCATCACGTCTTAGACGAGCTCAGCAAGGCCCACGACAGCTGCTGTCCGGGTTACTAAGAGAAGGGTTTAGGTACCCTCAACCCTAAACCCTAAACCCTAAACCCTAAACCCTATACAATAAACCCTAAACCCTGGTTAGGGAACCTAGGTATAATTTTGACAGGTTTAGAAAAGCCAAAAAGCTACAGGCGTTTTAACTTTTTTGGCCCGTTAGAGCCTGCAAATAGCTGCCTGGACTCCAGGGTCCAGAAAAACTCAGAAAACCCTAAACCCCAAACCTCAAACCCCAAACCCTAAACCCTAAACCCCAAACCCTAAGCCCTAAACCCCCCTTTCCCTCCCTCAGGTGCGCGAACGGTGTGAGGAGCTGCAGCTGCCGCCGGCACAGCCTTCGGCGCTGGAGGCCATATTTGTGCGATTTGTGCTAGGGTTTAGGGTTTAGGGTTTAGGGTTTAGGGTTTAGGGTTTAGGGTTTAGGGTTTAGGGTTTAGGGTTTAGGGTTTAGGGTTTAGGGTTTAGGGTTTAGGGTTGAGGCTTGCGCAAGTGCCCGAAGTCTCCACGGTTAAGGTCTTAGGGCTTAGGGTGGAGGGTTTAGGGTTAGGGTTTGGGGTTTAGGGTTTGGGGTTTAGGGTTTAGGGTTTAGGGGTTTAAAGGTTTAAGGTTTTAAGGGTTTAAGGATTTAAAGGGTTGAGGTCTGAGGGTGGGTTGGGGAAATGGTGCTGGGGTGGGTTCAGGGTTTCTTTGCTTGAGGGTTAAGGTTTCAGGGCTTCAGGTCTGGCTCAGGGCCTGGGGTTCAGGGTTTCAGGGCCTCAGGGATTCAAGGCCTGGGGTTTGGGGTTTCAGGGTCTCAGTTCCTGAGGTTCAGGGTTTCAGGCCTGGGGTTGAGGGTTTCCGGGCCTCAGGACCTGTGGTTTAGGGCTTCAGGGCCTCAGGCTTGGGGTTTAGGGTTTCAGGGCTTCAGGCCTGGGGTTTAAGGTCTGAAGGCCTGAAGGCCTGGGGTTTAGGGTGTCAAGGCGTACAGGGTGAATGAAGACCCTTGATTTTCTTAATGTTGTGGGATTCTCTGGGTGGGTGGGGGTATTCTCCCGTTTCACAACCACATCGCTTGACTGGTGAAAGCTAGTACATGAGATGCTGAACCCTAAACCCTAAACCCTCAACCCTAAATTTAAGAGCCTCCGGCTCAAGCCGCCGACCCCGCAGGAGAACAAGTTTAAGGTTTGGGGTTTGGTGATTTTGTTTGGGGTTCCTGTTGGGAGGGGGGGTGGGGGGGGTGGTGGGGGGGTTGGGGGGTGGGTGGGGGGGGGGGGGGGGGGGGGGGTAAGGGGGGGGGTAGGGGGGGGGGGGTAGGGGGGGGGAAGGGTAGGGACAGGGGTTTTTTCCAAAAGAGCCCCTATGCCGGTGGCCTGTTCCTCCACGGAAAAGCTGGCGGGGTACCCCCCTAAACCCTAAACCCTGAACCCTGAACCCTGAACCCGAAACCCGAAACCTTCCTAGTGCCCTGCAAGGTTGCCAGCTGCGACGATCCTGGGGACGCAGGAGGGGTCGAGGAGCTGGCCATCAAGATTGCTACCTGAGACTTTGGCTGGGTTTTTAGGGTTTGGGGTTTTTAGGGTTTAGGGTTTAGGGTTTGGGGTTTTAGGGGCTTAGGGTTTGGGGTTTAGGGTTTGGGGTTTTTAGGGTTTAGGGTTTGGGGTTTGGGGTTTAGGGTTTAGGGGGTTCAGGTTTTGGGATTTGGGGTTTGGGTTTTTGGAGTAATATATACTTCAATACTTTTGTTTGGTTCTGGGTTCCGATTATAGCTACTTGTACCTAACAAGTATATTCATTTTTTCAGGGACTACTCCAAAGTAGGCTTGGGATCTTCAGGTTAAGGGTTTAGGGGGCGTAGGGTTTAGAAGGTGTGAGGTTTGAGGCTTCTAGGGTTTCAGGTTCAGGGTTTATTGCTCACAGGGTTTGTGGTTTAATTTAGACTCCACGAACGCTTTTTTGTTCGCCTGTTGTGGTCCCGAATAAGGACTGTTGGAATACGGGGGAATATCCCACCCCATAAGCCTACATACCCTAAACCCTAAACCCTAAGAACCCCTAAACCCTAAACCCTCAAAACCCATAATCCTAAAAAACCCTAAACCCTAACCCTAAACACCCATAACCCTAAAAACCCTAAACTAAACCGAGTTATTTTGTTGGGTGTGGGGAGGGTGTCTCTTCACCCTGAGCCCTAAACCCTAAACCCTAAACCCTAAACCCTAAACCCCAAACCCTAAACCCTAAACCCTAAACCCTAAACCCTAAACCCCAAACCCTAAACCCTAAACCCTAAGCTGGGCGGGTGAGGGGAGAGACTGAGGTGAGCAGCGGTGCGAAGACCTGCGTAGCCACTTCGCCGAGCGCTCGGCGGAGCTCGCAGTCCGCGCTCCTTGGTTCGTTTTGGGCTTAGGGTTTAGGGTTTAGGGTTAGAGGGTTTAAGGTTTAAGGTTTAGGGTTTGGGGTGTAAGGTTTAGGGTTTGCGGTTTAGGGTTTAGGGTGTAAGGTTTAGGGTGTAAGGCTTAGAGTGTAAGGCTTGGACTGTTTTTGGAGGTTGACCTGAGGGCACTAGGTGCGGCCAAGGTACTTGATCTCGATTCATCATCGCCTCATATTGAGGAGTTTCATTGCTCCGGGGTATCAACGGGTAGTTACGTTCACCCGCTCCCTAACGTGCTGTCGTGTGCAGGCCCCGAAACACGAAGCTGCTCCAATCCCTAAATGTTCAGGCATCATGGGCCAGCGGGGGTCACGAAGGGTTGAGGGCTTATAAGGATTCAGGGTTTCTAAGGGCTTTTGGGGTCTAGAGGGGGCTACCTTAATAATCTCAAGAACCCCAAGATTAAGACCCCAACCCCGCCCTTCCGCCCTTCCCACGAAGGTTGTAGCTCAGGAGGTTCAGGGTTTAGGGTTTTGGGTCGGGTTTTGAGTTTTGGGGGTTGTGTGTCAAGAGGTTGGGGGGTTAGAGGCTGGCGTAGCTCCTCGTGGGTTAGTCACAAACCCTAAACCCTAAACCCTAAACCCTAGACCCTAAACCCTAAACCCTAAACCCTAAACCCTAAACCCTAAACCCTAAACCCTAAACCCTAAACCCTAAACCCTAAACCCTAAACCCTAAACCAACCCATCGGCCATGCCAAAGGTGCAAGCAGGATTTGCAGAAGCCAAAGGGCACATGGACGTTGTTGTGTCCCAACTCGGGCAGCAGCTTGGCCGACAGCCTGGGTTTAGGGATTAGGGTTTAGGGTTTAGGGTTTAGGGTGTAGGGTTTAGGGTTTAGGGTCTAGGGTTTAGGGTGTGAATAGTCGTCTAACTTGTATTCTTTGGTCGTGGGAGAAGCAAGGTAATGTCACGGTACTGCGCACCCTGAAGCCGGAGTGGAAGCCCCCATCACCCAGACGCGGAAACCCCAAACCCTAAACCCTAAACCATAAACCCTAAACCCTAAACCCTAAACCCTAAACCCTAAACCCTAAACCCTAGGCCCTAGACCCTAGACTCTAGACCCTAGACCCTAGACCCCAAACCCTAAACACTAACCCTAAACCTTAAGCGGCTCTCTGAATCCCCCCCCAACAACCTCTTGTTGACCTGGCGCTGCTCACTGGTGGCAAAACTCACCAGTGGAATTTCCCGCAGGGTTATGGTTCAGGGTTTAGGGTTTAGGGTTTAAGGTTTAGGGTTTAGGGTTTAGGGTTTAGGGCTTAGGGCTTAGGGCTTAGGGCTTAGGGCTTAGGGTTTAAGGTTTAGGGTTTAGGGTTTACTGTAAGAGGTTAGGGTTTAGGGTTTCGGGCTTAGGGTTTATGTTAAAGTGGTTGAGGTTAACCGTAGTGGAGACCCCCCTACCCTGTTGCTGCGACTCCACAATGTCTACGAGCGACCCGCCAAAGAAAAGAAAGCGCTACTGCCCACTAGAGTATCGGAATTTACTTACGTAAAGACCACTTTTTTTCCTACTACCCACTAGTGGAAATACCCACGAGTGGAAATCTCACTGCCCACTAGCGAAACTCCCATTACCCATTCGTGGAAGCCGCGCTAGCTCAAGGGATTTAGACTCAGATAATATGGTTTGGTGGTCTCTTTAAGTAGGGTTTCTGTCTTATAGGGGCAGTCGGGGCAGTATATTCGGGTGCTTGTTAGGGTATCTCTAGGGGCTACATTAAGGTATCAGGGTAACAGATAAAGAGGCCACCGGCCTGTCTAACGACTCTAAACCCTAAACCCTAAACCCTAAACCCTAAACCCTAAACCCTAAACCCTAAACCCTAAGGTTGTACCCCCAAAGGTTCCCCTGACACATACTCCCTTCATGGCCCTTATACTACCTTAAGGATCGTTTAGCCTGAAGGGTCCAAGGTACCCTAAACCCTAAACCCTAAACCCTAAACCCTAAACCCTAAACCCTAAACCCTAAACCCTAAACCCTAAACCCTAAACCCTAAACCCTAAACCCGGCCAACTCCCAAGGCTTGGTGAGCGGCTCCGGTTCCACGAAGCGAGTTCGGGAACGGCGGCTTGGAGCATTGGGGTATTTTTGATGGGGCAGGTGGTTCAGGGTTTAGGGTTTAGGGTTTTGGGTTTTGGGTTTTGGGTTTAGGGGTCGTTGTTTGGGAGCATTTTTCTTTGTTGCTGTTGGGTGGGGAGGGGGGGGGGGGGGGGCGTTAGGAGATGGGGTTCAGTGCAAGGTTTTTGGGTGCCGAAGCTTTGGTATCTTAAGTGTCTAGGGTTTATAGGGTTTAGGGCTTTAGGGCTTTTAGGGTTTTTAGGGTTTTGTTAAGGTTTTTTAGGGTTTATAGGGTTTATAGGGTTTAGGAGAAGTAGCAGGCTTTGAGGGCTTCGCCGCAGGCTGCGAATCGCCGCACTGACATGTTGGGGGGGGTAGGGGGGGACAGGGGCCAGCAGATGCTCTGTGAACAGGTTCTTCTTATAGAAGGACCCCTAAACCCTAAACCCTAAACCTTAAACCCTAAACCCTAAACCCTAAACCCTAAACCACTGTTCTGGGAACCCAAGAGGACTCGGATTCAATGGGCACAACTTAGAGCTCTGCTCAGGAAGGTGACGACAGACCGTATCCACCTGAGCACAGACACCAATGCCTCTCAGCCCTCAACCCTCTACACCCTAACGCCGGGGCCCAAGCCCTAAACCACTTAAAACTCTAAACCAAGCACCGGCCCGGAAAACTCAGCCTCAACCCTGTGTTAAGGCCGATGACAAGATCCAGCTGGTGCAACGAGCGGCCTGTACTTAGATGGATGGTGGTCCCTGGTGAAACAAAGCATGAAAGGGTAGCTACGTGGCCCCGAATTGGGAACCCCTTATACACCCCGTAAAACCCAACTCTTTTGCAGAAGGTAAGGGACCATGTTCGGGACGATGTAGCTACCCTTAACGTTCAGGGTGTGCAGAAGGACCATTGGGTTGCTGGAGGTTCGGATTTAGGGCTTGTTTAGGGTACTTAGGTGGACTTGGGGCAGGAGATAGGGAGTCTACTTCTACCGAAAATGGGGGGGTACCTTGTTGGGGTCCTGATAATCAGGGAATCCTATTAGGGTTTAGGGTTTAGGGTTTAGGGTTTAGGGTTTGGGGGGCTGTGTTAGGGGTTCCCTCTCTTCGTAACCTCCAAGTATACCTCCCCAAGGTGGAGCGGGTGGAAGCGCGACTCGGCGATCAGGTGCGACCCGTCACGGAGGGGGTTTTAGGGTTTAGGGTTGAGGGTTTAGGGTTAAGGGTTTTTGGGGTTTAGGGTTTAGTTTTTGGCGGCCTTCCAGCAGGGACTGTCAAAGAGCAAGACCAACCCCATCCCTGCCCCCAAGCTCCGAACCCGAAACCCCAATCCCTAAACCCCAAACCCCAAAGCCTGAGCCCCAAACCCCAAACCCCAAACCCCAAACCCCAAACCCCAAACCCTAAACCCTAAACCCCACACCCCTTAGCTCCACACCCCTAGACCCTAAATCCTGATTCAGGCGCTGGCGGTGGGCAGCTTTCGGTCCTGTCTTGAAATGGTGAGGCTGGGGCCTGGGACTCGAAGCCTTGAAGCCTTTAGCCTGTACCTTTTAGGGTTTAGGGTTTAGGGTTTAGGGTTGAGGGTTGAGGGTTGAGGGTTGAGGGTTTAGCCCCTAGTTGCCCTAACATGCTATGCCTTCTAGGCTTCAGGGCTCTATAGGGCTCAAGGCTCTCAAGCGTGGGGACTCCCACAGCCCCGGAAGCTTTTAGGGTTTCGGGTTTAGGGTTTAGGGTTTCGGGTTTCGGGTTTAGGGTTTAGGGTTTGGCTCTGTTGGTTACAGCATCAGCCACTCAAGCTTGACTGGGGCTGCTAACTACCTACGAACGCAAGTAATGCCTCACGAGACCCTAAACCCTGAGCCGCACTTGAGACAAGGGCCAGCTCATGAGTTCTCTAGAGTGTTGCGCCTTCGTGGGTCACTGCTATGCTTAGTGGTTCCCTTTTGCCCGTTTTGGGGGGGTTGAGGGTTTATAAGGTGTAGGGTTCACCAAACAAGGCACATACCCTTACTGCACTCGTTTTTGTTGATCACAGTACGGGGAATAGGGTGCAGGGTACCCCAAAAAGGGAACATAAATACAGCTTCATGAGTTGCTGCTTGTCGCTGAAGATAGTCCTGAAAATTGCCAAGAACCGAAATGGGGTGCTCCAAAGGAAAAACCAGAACTCAGGAACCCTAAACCCTAAACCCTAAGCCCTAAAACCTAAACCCTAAACCGTAAACTCAGGGCCGAGGCCGCCCCCCTACGTTGGTGGGTGGCGCTTAAGCCCTTCGACCTCGATGGCGCAAGCCGACCCGGGTCGCTCGCCCACCTCCCGCAGCTCGGGGGTCGGCAGCACCCGTTCTCTCAGTTTCTTGGGGGACCCAGAACCCCCAGGCCAGGAGGACCCGGACCCCAGCTCAAGCCCGCCCAGGCAGGGTGCCCGACCTTGGACCCCTAACCTGGGCCCCTGCACCGGGCGTGACACCGTGACGAAGTAAGCAGTTGGCTTGAGTTTAGGCCTAAACCCTGAAAGGAATAGGTTTGGGTGGCTTCGCCGCCTCGGACGGCGTGGGGTGGGAGAAAAACTTTCGAGCTTGCTCAAAACCTAACCTCACAGCATCTACGCCCCATCACCGCAACCCCTAAACCCTCATGAAACCCTAAACCCTGAACCTTCTCCTGGACCCCCTGATCCCCTTTCTGCCCCCTGGCCCTCCTGGGCCGCCCCCCCGCCCCCCCTGGCCCCTCAAACCTTTCCCTTTGTGTTGGCTGAAACTGGGGGACGGACAGTTTTTTTTGAAGTAAGCGATTGTCATGAGTTTAGGCCTAAACAGCAAAATCAAGAGGAATAGGTTTGGGTGGTTTTGCCGCCTCGGACGGCGTGGAGTGGGAGAAAAGCATTAGATGGCCCTCCACAATCGGGCCAGAGCTGCTCTTCGCACCTGACGAGGCATTCGAGCCGCTGCTGCATCCTAACCTTCACAGCATCTACGCCCCATTACAGCAAACCCTAAACCCTAAACCCTAAACCCTAAACCCTAAACCCTAGACCCTAGACCCTAGACCCTAAGCCCTAACCCTTAAACCCTAAACCTTAAACCCTAAACCCTAAACCCTATACCCTAAACCCTAAGCGGCTCGCTAGGCAGGCCTTGGGAAACCTCAAGAGCACGATCGATCCTGCACCCGGGCAGACGTTTCAGGTTTTCGGGTTTGGGGCTCCTACACCCTATAAATCCGAAACCCTAGACACCAAGCCCTAAACCCCAAACCCCAAACCCTAGACCCCTTCGGCGTTTAGGGTTTAGGTTTAGGGAGGGGAGCTGGGGGGGAGGGGGGGTTGGGCGGTTTAGGGGTTGTAGGGGATGTGGGAATTTCTGTGTGAGGGGGGGGGGGGGGGGGGGGTTTCGGGTTTAGGGGTTTAGGGGTTTGGGGTTTAGGGTTTGGGGTTTGCGGTTTGGGGTTTGGACTGTTTGGGCTGTTTGGGCCGTTTGGGCCGTTTTGGGGTTTAGGGTTTAGGGTTTAGGGTGTAGGGTTTAGGGTTTAGGGTTTAGGGTTTAGGGTCAGGGGTGGGGGGACGGAGCCAGGGTGTAGAGTTTGCTGCTGAGGGGAGGGGATCGTAAATTGATACCCTGCACTCTAACGGGGACGCGGTTTAGGGTTTAAGGGGTGATGTCTTGGCCTTGGCCGCGCCAAAGTTTAGTTTAGGGTTTTGGATTTACATACCTCCCCCCCCCCTCCTCCCCCTCCCATATATCTGCTGCATTTTCTGAGGGTTGTTACTTACGACCCTCACAAATCAGCCTAGGCCAGCGGGTTCTAAGCCACTTCGCTTCTGGGCAAAGGGTCGCGGTTGACGTGGCACTCTCAACCCCCCATGTTTCCTTTGTTTGCCCTAAACCCTAAGCCCTAAACCCTAAACCCTAAGCCCTATAAGCCTGAAACCCTAAACCTAAACCCGACACCCTACCTAAGCCCCAAACCCTTGTTCCTCGGATGCTCGAGAGCTCGAAATGAAACCCCGGCTTCAACGAATTTCAAGTCTCGGAGGCTCCGCACCCACCCACCCCTGCCCCCCCTCCCCCCATAAAATTACATAAATAGAAAACTAAAAAAAGCACAAGAAACTTTAAAGACCCAAAAGCCGAAATCCTGAACGCTGATTCAGAGTTTGGTGTTTAGGGTTTCGGGTTTAGAAGTTTAGAGATTAACCCCTAGCCGGAACCCCAAACATTCCCCAAATCGGCCTCAGGGCCTTGTCGGCTCTGCGGGGTTTCGGGCTTCTAGGGTTTCGGGCTTCTAGGGTTTAGGGTTTAGGGTTTAGGGTTGAGGGTTTAGGGCTCGGAGGCCATCTTGGCACTTGCTTTTGGTTCAAGGCTCCCTTATAAAAGGACCACCCCCCCACCCCCCCCCCCCCCCCCCCCCCCCCAAAAAAAAAAGGGCACCCTTAGCATAATATGGCTACTGGCCTAACAAGTCATAAGTACTGCATTTATGGATTTATAGGCTTTGTAGGGTTTTGGAAGGTTGGGTCGCTCCCCAAGAAGAGACGGACACCGACGAAACATTCTGAACACCAAGGTCCATCGTGCTGCGAGCCCGCCAGTTCCTTGGAGACGCAAGAAAACTCTAAACCCTATGAAGCCCAATACAACTTGTACACGGGTGTTGAACCAAGACCTGAGCCTAAAACCCCACAAACCTCCATTCAAGCCCCCCAAGGACACCTTAAACTCTTCAAAGCCCTAAGCCCTAAGCCCCAAACCCTAAACCCCGAACCCCGAACCCCGAACCCTAAACCCTAAACCTCAAGGCGCACCCATGTTTCGAGGGTAACCCTAATAGCCTAAGCAAGCCCTAAACCTTAATTAAACCCCCCAACACCCTGAAAAACCCTAATCTAGGGCTCGGAAGAGTTGAATAATTGTCTTATGTTCCCTATATAGGTATACTTAGTATACCATCCTACCCCCCCAACACCCTACATTAATTTCGAATGTCCCTAAACCCTAAATCCTAAACCCAAGGTGGGCGCGCTCGCAGGCGCGCTGCGAAACGCAGAGGACGAGCTGGGACGGCGCCCTGGACGCAGAGCTTTCGCTGGTTTGGCAGCTCAGGGTTCAGCAGGCTTAGGGTTTAGGGTTTAGGGTTTAGGGTTTAGGGTTTAGGGTTTAGGGTTTAGGGTTTAGGGTTTAGGGTTTAGGGTTTAGGGTTTAGGGCTTAGGGTTTAGGGTTTAGGTTTTGGGTTTAGGGTTTAGGGTTTAGGGTTTATTTTAAAGTCTCGCATCAAGTTTTGTTGGTTAACATCATGACTCAGAAGTTCAAGGTCCCTCATGGAGACCACCTCGAAGAAACCAAGGCCATCAAGCAGTAAAGAATATTGAGCAGAAGCCATGGGAAGACTCTAAGATAGAGGGGCCCTCATGCATATCTGCATGTCATACAAGCCTAAACCCTCAAGCCTAAACCCTAAACCCTAAACCCTCAATTCTAAAAGCCGGGATGTCTTAAGCCCAGTTCACTCCTGGCTTGCGGTCCCCATCCCTCAACGAAGAAGTATCAGGTTCCCTCCATGTTGGGCCCCAAACCCTAAACCCTAAACCCTAAACCCTAAACCCTAAACCCTAAACCCTAAACCCTAAACCCTAAACCCTACGTGGTTTTGGGGACCTTCGGCGACTCCCGCGAGGCTAAAGCGCCGCACCGATCAGCTGGAGGCGTCGGCCTCTGCATGGCCTCTGGGGCCGCACAGAAGTAGGGTTTAGGGTTTAGGGTTTAGGGTTTAGGGTTTAGGGTTTCGGGTTTAGGGTTTAGGGTTTAGGGCTGCTATTGCAAGATTCTGTGTAGGCTTAGGGTTTCGGGTTCTGTGTATTGTGTGTAGGCTTAGTGGGTTTAGGGTTCTGGGCTTGGGAGCCTGAAAAACTACCAGTATTGCGTGTTCCTATACAAGTGCAGACTGCATTGTCCACATTCCTGTTAAACTCAAATAGGCCTGCATCGTAAGCCGTTGGCCTTTTCTCCGTCTCCATTGTGTTGTATTTCATATAGTTCATTGGGCACCAACTTGGAACATTTGTTCTTCGCCCCACTGTTTAACTATTGAATCGTGGTTCTGAAATTTATCTTGGGATGGGTTGCAAACGAATTTCCGGTGTACATCCAGGCCAAAAAATCCACAACTTCTAAACCCTAGCTTAGGGTATCAGCAAGGGCCTAGTTGGGGTTTCGGGCCCGTTTTTGAGAATGCAGGATCTTTGCAGGTTCTTAGAGTTTAGGGCTCAAAGTTGGGGTTTCGAGGTTCGAAAATAAACCCTATATAAGCCCTTAAAGCCTTAAATCCTTAAACCCTTTAACCCCCCCCAACCGACCGCATCCAGACGTGTAGGAGACCGCCCTCAGCCGAAGTCCTTCTGGCCGTGCCACTAGCCGACATGGCGCAGCAGCCAGAGCACAAGGAGAGGCCCAAAAAAAGAACCCTAGATCTCTCAGCCCTTAACCCCCCTAAACCCTACTTGAAGGCTCATGTGTACTTGATAAGTAGGGTTAGAAGTTATAAGTGCCCTAAGTATGGTTTTAGTCATAGTTACCCGAAACCCTAAACCCTAAACCCTAAACCCTAAAGCCTAAACCCTAAACCCTAAACCCTAAACCCGTGCGAGCCTTTCAGGAGGAAGTGGCTGCGAAGCCCGCAGAACCTCGACGAACCCTCCTCGAAGCTGACATCGAGGCCATCCTAAGTAGGATTCCAGGTTAGGGTTTAGGGTTGAGGGTTGAGGGTTGAGGGTTGAGGGTTGAGGGTTTGGGGTTTAGGGTTAAGGGCTAAGGGCTTAAGGGTTTAGGTGAGTGTTTAGGGTTGCGGGTTCAGCATCTCAAGTCCAAGCTTTCACGAGCCAAACAGACTACTCTGTTGAATATCTACCCACCCACCCTTCGGATCCCGTAGCATTCTAAACCCGAATTCCTAAACCCTAAACCCTAAACCCTAAACCCTAAACCCTAAACCCTAAACCCTGAACCCTAAACCCTAAACCCTAAACCGAACCCAGGAACCCTGAGACCTTAGGGCCTTGAACCCTAAGCCCTGAGCCCTCGAACCCGACACCCTGGGCTTAGGGTTTAGGGTTTAGGGTTGGGTTTAGGGGTTTAGGGGTTTAGGGGTTTAGGGGTTTAGGGGTTTAGGGGTTTAGGGGTTTAGGGTTTAGGGTTTAGGGTTTAGGGTTTAGGGTTTAGGGTTTAGGGTTTAGGGTTTAGGGCTAGGGTTTAGGGTAGACCCTAAATCCAGCAAGCTTCAACCATTGACGATTTTGGCACACTTGCACTGGCCGCTGACGAATTGGGCCGTCAACGCGTTTGCTTAAGGCAAGTTTGCCGCCGACTTGGGCCATTCAGGTCTATGAGCATTCAGGGTTTAGAGGCTTTAGGGTCTTTAGGGTCTTTAGGGTCTTTAGGGTTTAGGGTTTGGGGTTCATTTAGGCCTGAAACCCTAAAACCGTCAAGCCCCAGACCCCAAACCCTAACCAAACCCTAGCCAAACCCCAACTCACCCTTAAGCTTTAGGGGTTTAGGGGTTTAGGGTTTAGGGTTGTTCCTCCTCAACCCTCAGCCCACCCAGCCCCGACCTGACTCCCAAACCCAAGATTCCCCAAAGCCCAGACCCCAAAGTAAACCCCCTGCATCCCTAAACCCTTACTTAGTAGTAGAGTAGGTAACCTTTAACCTTTTTGGGTTGAATATAATCCCCTTTATAACCCCAAAGGTTAACCTTTTAAAACCCCTAGGTACTGGACAACTAAGCTTAAGCCTTATAGCCCCAAACGCCAAACCGTGCGCTGGTCCTGTGTAAAGCACAGCCCATCTTCTGGAGTCTTGAGCTAGGATGCCCAGTAGTACCCTTATTCCCTTTTTTTGGGGGTTTAGGTTCCCTTATAAACCCCTTTAAGCAAAAAAGGCCACCCTTTTTAAGCCCAGGTTACTGGGCAGCCTAGTGAGGGTTTCGGTTCTTCTTGCACGACACCAAAACCGCCCAAAACCCAACATCGTGTTGGCGGTTTCGAGTTTTTGGGTGTAGGGTTTAGATTGATTGGGTGCTTGAAATTGCGACCAGGGATTTGCCTGGGTTTAGGGTTTAGGGATTAGGGTTTAGGGTTTAGGGTTTTTCGGTTGTGCCAGGGGAAGCTCAATTCCGACGAACCGGAGCACAGCGACCGGGAGGCAGGCTCAGATCATGGTTCAGGCTTAGAGGTTTATAGTGACCCTAAACCCTAAACCCTGAACCCTAAACCCTAAACCCTAAACCCTAAACCTTAAACCCTAAACCCTAAACCTTCTTTTAAATATTAAACCCACTAAACCCTGAACCCTCTAAACCCTAAACCCTCTAAAGGACAAACTTCCGGGCCATATCAGCCCACAACCTTCTATAAGTCTCCCCCTCAGAGGTCAGCTGTGAACCGAGCGCCTAGCCGCTCTCCCTCCATTCCGATGAGACCCTAACCTCTAAACCCTAAACCCTAAATCTAACGGGCTGTCGCCCACAGCCGGGCACGCCCACCAGCAGCAGGACAACGGCAGCAAGCACAGCAGCAACAACAGCAAACGCCGTGGAGGTGTTCATGTTCAGAAACACCGTGGAGGTGCATGGCCACACTGTGGAAGTGTGCATGTACAGTTTTCACGTTCGCAAACACCGTGGAGGTGTTCATGTTCAGCATTTGCAGTCTTCACGTTCGCAAACACCGTGGAGGTGTTCGTGCTCACAAGCACCGTGGAGGCATCCACGGCCACACTGTAGAAGAAAACCCGGAACCTTACACCCTAAACTCTCAACAACAACCACAACAACAACAACAACCACACCAACAACAACAACAACAACAACAACAACAACAACAACAACAACAACAACAACAACAACAACAACAACAACAACAACAACAACAACAACAACAACAACAACAACAACAACAACAACAACAACAACAACAACAACAACAACAACAACAACAACACAACAACAACAACAACAACAACAACAACAACAACAACAACAACAACAACAACAACAACAACAACAACAACAACAACAACAACAACAACAACAACAACAACAACAACAACAACAACAACCCAACAACCCAACAACCCAACAACCCAACAACCCAACAACCCAACAACCCAACAACCCAACAACCCAACAACCCAACAACCCAACAACCCAACAACCCAACAACCCAACAACCCAACAACCCAACAACCCAACAACCCAACAACCCAACAACCAAACAACCAAACAACCAAACAACCAAACAACCAAACAACCAAACAACCAAACAACCAAACAACCAAACAACCAAACAACCAAACAACCAAACAACCAAACAACCAAACAACCAAACAACCAAACAACCAAACAACCAAACACCCAAACAACCAAACAACCAAACAACCAAACAACCAAACAACCAAACAACCAAACAAACAAACAACCAAACAACCAAACAACCAAACAACCAAACAACCAAACAACCAAACAACCAAACAACCAAACAACCAAACAACCAAACAACCAAACAACCAAACAACCAAACAACCAAACAACCAAAAACAAACAAACAAACAAGCAAGCAAAGAACGCGCGCGCGCGCGCGTGTGCGTGCGCATGTCGAGTGCCATGTTATGGAGTTATGCCAGCATCCTTCGAAATCCTGCCGCCCAAAACCCTTTCCGGAGCCGCTGATGCTGCTGATGCTCGCTTGCAAAGAGAAACGAAGCCTCGATGATGCGCACCCTGGCCCCCCGCCCGGCCGCGCATCATGAGCATCAGCGGCTCCGGCCTCCAGGCATGCATGGCTTATAGGAGCATATGCCGGCCTCAAAACGGAAATGTCCGTAACAGCACGAAAACCACGGTATTTACAGCGATTTTTGTGTTTTCCAAGCTCTCAGCCGCATCCGAAACCCAAAACCCAACCCGCTGATGCTCATGATGCGCGCTCTTGTGGGGGTCCTTTGCGGTGCCAATGCCACCCAAAAAACATCAGCAACGCGTATTTGGCCAAAATTGAAAAAGAGAGTCGATGATGCTCTCCGGGGTCGTTTTTGGGACCCCCCATGGGGCCGTTTTTCGCGATAAAAATTGTACCTGAAAATTGATGCCCTTCGGGGGCCGCATTTGGGGCCGGATGTTGGGGAGCCAACCGGGTCGGCGGCTTAGCCGGCCCCCGTCATAGCTAAAGCTAGGGCTGGCGCCTAACGGCGTCGGACCACGGGCGTGCCCGGATTTAGGAGCCTCCGGCTCAAGCCGCCGACCCCGCGGGAGAACAAGTTTAAGGTTTGGGGTTTGGTGGATTGGGTTTGCGGTTCGGGTCTGGGTGGGGGGGTGGGGGGGGTGGGGGGGTAGGGGGGGGCCCGCGTTTTGGGGGGGAAAGAGCGAGGTTTTCACCTCCAGAAACCCATCCAACACGCCGCCAGGGTCGGCGGACCCTAAACCCTAAACCCTAAACCCTAAACCCTAAACCCTAAACCCTAAACCCTAAACCCTAAACCCTAAACCCTAAACCCTAAACCCTAAACCCTAAACCCTAAACCCTAAACCCTAAACCCTAAACCTTCGGCAGCGGAAGGCGCAGGTGCCGCATGCCGCAATGGCCACTCTCGAGGTTGCCTTGGACAGCTTCGAAGCTGTCCTCCGAAAGGTGCGATTTAAGGTTTAGGGTTTAGGGTTTAGGGTTTAGGGTTTAGGGTTTATCATATCTGGGCTTTATCATATCTGGGCGCCTGTGCTTTTTTTAACCTCGAAACCTAAACCCATCAACCTGCAATTCCCCCCGCCCCATCACCAGAAACCCTGAACCCTACATAAAAAACTGCTAAAACACCCATGCTATTTCTTTCACTCGGGTGGGCGTAACAGTTCCGAAGTGGACCTAGCGGGAGAAGGGCTTAGGGTCTTGGGTTTCGGGTTTAGGGCTTAGGGTCGGAAATTCATGTGTCGGTCCAGCCAGAGACCAATGGGTGGGGGGGGGGGGGTCCTGGCGTCGCACACCTTTCGGGATCCCGGTACTTGGAGCTTCATGGGTAATTGTAAGTAGGGTTATACGTACCCTAAGTCATGTGAGAACCACAGTTTCCCTACCTATCACCCTACCTGTACGATGTTTGGTGAAATTAGGGTTCTAAACCCTGAACCCTAAACCCTAAACCCTCAACCGTGTGCCAGCGCTGCAACCAGGCGGAAGCCGGGTGGACAGTTCCTGCTGAGCCCATTGCCCGACAAGTGGGTGGCGGCGAATGAAAGGAAAAAGCCGGTGCCTCTAGGGTTTAGGATTTAGGGTTTAGGGGTTAGGGTTTAGGGTTTACCGAGACCTTAACTGGCGGCTCGGAGGCACTTCAAAGGAGCATTGCAAGTAAGGTCAGAACCTCATGTAGGGTACTTGTAATCCTTCGTATGCGGGCCAAACCGTGCTGCGTCCTTGTTTGAGTTGTTGTTCCTCGTTTGATGCTTCAGCTGACCCACAGTCATGGCCTTGAGGTTCCAGCCCCCAACCGTGGGTTACATATCCCATTGACCCCCCCTGAAGGACCCGGTTATATGATCCCTGAAGATGGTCGTCCCTTACCTTCTTTGAAGGGTTCTGAAGTACGTGCCCTTTGGGCTTTATAGGGTTTAGGGTTTAGGGTTTAGGGTTTAGGGTTTTGGGAGACCCGACCCAGCAGACGGGCAAGGAGTACTGGACAAGCACAAGGAGGAAGAGGCTGAGTTTTGACAGAAGCCAAGAACTAAGTTTTAACAAAAGCCAAGAACCCCCAAAACTCCAAACCCTAAACCCTAAACCTCTAACTAAACCCGAACACGTAGGCCTTAACCCTTAATGTAACCCTTAGCCCTTAACCCCAGCCCCAACCCCTTAAGCCCAGAAACCCTAAGTCAATGTTCCCGGGGCCCAACCCTGGAGTTGCACTCTTCAAGTCTTAGGCACCTACGTCGGAGATGCTCGGCCGCACTGGGCTTATGGCGTTCGAAGGGGTTTGGGGTTTCGGGTTTCGGGTTTAGGCACAGTGACCTGCCTGCCTCTTACACCTCTTCCATCCCCAAACCACACCAGCTGCTAAACTTTAAACACTACTCCGAGGATAACCCCCAAACCCCAAGCTCTCGATGAGGGAACTACAATCTCTGAACAGCAGCCCAGTTCAGGTAAGCACTGCTCAAAAAACGACATGCTCCACTAGAGTCGACACATCCTCTATGCCCCAACGCCCCAAAGCCCCAAAGCCCTCAAGCCCTAAAGCCCTAAAAGCCTAAAGCCCTAAAGCCCTAAAGCCCTAAAGCCCTAAAGCCCTAAAGCCCTAAAGCCCTAAAGCCCTAAAGCCCTAAAGCCCTAAAACCGAAACCTGTTCTCCCCCCCCCCCCCCAGCCCCCCCAAGGTTCTGGGCGTCTGTGGAGAGGACGCAGGGCATGGGAGTGGCACTTTGCTGAGGAGGAGGAGTAGGTTGATCCAGAACACACAGACCCAGTTCACACCCAGTCAAAACCCTCGGCAAGAACCGCCCTGGCTTGACCTGAACCCTACACCCTAAACCCTAAACCCTAAACCCTAAACCCTAAACCCTAAACCCTAAACCCTAAAAGCTTGCTACACCCGGATGCTTCTGCCACTTCCCGGAGTCTCTTCAAGTGCCAATCCCAGGCCTTCAGGGTCGGGGTTAAGGACCCCAAGCCCTAAACCCTAAACCCTAAACCCCAGGTTCTCATCCCTAAGCCCTCTACCCTAAAGCCAAAGAATCCCGAAGGCTCCCGAGAGAACTCGCAGGAGCAGCTGTGGCCGATGTCCCTGCACTTGCTCCAGGAGATGAGCGACAGAGGTGGGTGTGCGGGTTAGGTTTAGGGTTCAGGGTTTGGGGTTTAGGGTTAAGATTCATGCAAACAAACAACAGCCCAAACAAACGCAAACATAGTTCAACAAGCATGTGTACGTACATATGTATATTAATATTAATATTAATATTAATATTAATATTAATATGAATATTAATATTAGTATTAATATATATGTATATAGATATGAATAGATATAAAACATGGCTGTTGCAGGGTGGGTGGAATACCCAGGGTTTAGAGGTTTTGTTGCCTAGGTTTTAAAGGCGCAGAGGGGCCCTCAGAGGTTGCGGGTTTCGGGGTTCAGGGTCTATACAGGTGCTAGAAAGCAGCCCTTGGTTTAGGGTTTAGGGTTTAGGGTTTAGGGTTTAGGGCTTCGGGTTTAGGGCTGGAGGTTCGGGGGCTTGGGGGGGTGTGAGGATTTAAGGGGAACCGGTGTATTGTTCTGGCAAGACTGTAGTTCCGTTCAACATGGGCCTTTCCTTAAAGCTCCGAAAGCCGGAACCCTAAATCCTCACCGCGAAACCGCCATTGTTTTGGGAAGTTCCCCCCTTATACTTACAGCTCCTAGTAGGGATGAGACCCCTTGTACTAACAGCCCTTAATGAGGATATGTTCGGGTTTAGGGTTTAGGACCTAGGGCGTAGGTTGCTTGGGGAGGGGTCAGGCTTTTGGTGTTCGGCTAGCTAGCTTAGGACTTAAGGTGAAGAGGGTTTAGGGTGTTGGGTTCAGGGTTTAAGTTTAGGGTTTGGGGTGGGACTTTGGAATGATTAGGATTTAGGATGCAGGATGTTGGGTTTTTGGGTTCAGGGTTTAGGATTTAGGTTCAGCCGTTTGCCTTGCGACCGTCCAAGGTGTGCAGATCAATACCATCGCTATCAACACCGCCATTGACTGCTGCAGCTTGCCAATCAGACCCTAAACTTTCCAAATTGGGGGGTTTAGGGTTTTGGGTTTAGAGTTTTGGGCCCAAGTCTAGGGTTTAGAGTGAAAGCCTCGAGTCTCGCGACTGTGTTGTAGCTTGAAGATGTGAGCCTCAAACCCTATAAACCTAAATCGATGTCCCAGTTGCATTCCTTGAGGTATATTCCCCTAACCCCCCCAAAGTCTAAACGACTAAACCCTAGGCGCAAAACCCTACAACCCTGAACAACCCAACGGCCCCAAACCGAAACCCCCAAACGCCCCTAAACCCCTAAACCCTAAACCCTAAACCCTAAACCCTAAACCCTAAACCCTAAACCCCACATGGCGAAGAAGGTGCCAAGGCTGCGCAGTGGCAGGCAAAGGGGGCGAGGGCTTAGGAGCGTGTGCCCTTTCAGGTTTAGGGTTTAGGGTTTAGGGTTTTTAGGGTTTAGGGTTTAGGGTTTAGGGTTTGAGGATATAGGGTTTAGGATTTAGGATTTGGGGTTCAGGGATATAGGGTTTGGGGCTTTTCAGGTAAAATAAAATAGCATTGACCGCAGACCTTAGAGGGACAGTGACCATGTTTTGCGTCTAGGATGCCCTGTAATGCCCTTGTTCCCCTTTTTAGCTAGGCTGCCCAGTAGTACCCTCGCTCCCTCTTTGGGGGTTTAGGTACCCTTAGAGAAACCCCTTTTAAGCAAAAAAGGGCTACCCTTTTTAAGCCTAGGCTACCGGGCAGCCTAGCTAGGTTTCTTTTATAAACCCCTTTGAAGCCCCAAAAAGGGGCGCCCCCTTCTTGACCCGAGGTTTACTGGGGGCAACGGGGCAACCTAGGTGTGCTGTCTCTTTGGAAACCCTGCATCCGAAACTTGGGATGTTCCCCCTGAAAGAAACAGCCCTTCGTAGGGATTATAGTAAGGGGGGTACTAGAATCCCTATTGAGGACTGTTAGTATAATAATTGGGAACATCCCATTCCTAAACCCTGAGCCCTAAGCCCTAAACGCGCTGACATTGGCCGTATTGATGAGAGGCCTTTGCTCTTCGCGTTGACGCCTGTACGAACTCCTGAGTTTGGGAGTTTGGGGTTTAGTATTAGGGTTTAGGGTTTCCTCCCCCAATCCCTCAACTCCTCAACCCCTCTAACCCTCGACCCTCCTTCACAACTAAATCTCAATCGAATTTTCCGACCCCGGAAACAAGCCTGCACCAAGTATCCCTCAACCCTAAATCCGAACCCCTAATTCAATTTCCAGAACCTCCCAAACTCAAGTTTTGGCAGGCGGTATCTTACAGGGTACTAGGGGGGGTGCTCTGGAGTGCCCGGCGCTTCCACAGCCACACACTTTAGGGAACCCTAAACCCTAAACCCTAAACCCTAAACCCTGAACCCTAAACCCTAAACCCTAAACCCTAAACCCTCTAAAGATCTGGATTTAGTAAGATTCCAAGGCCCGGCGAGCTACTGTTGCTTTGCAGGACTCTTCGGGTTCGGGGGCTTTAGGGGATTAGGTGTTAGGGTTTCGGGTTTAGGGATTGGTGTTTGGGTTCAAGGCTGTTAAGGGTTTTGGGTCTTGTGGTGTTTAAGTTTAAACTTGAGGGTAAATACGAAACACTTCGGCCCTTCTCAACTCTAAAGCCCTAAACCCCAAACCCTAAGCCCTGAACTCCAAAAGCTTCACCCGCAAAGTCTTCATTCTCAGAGGCGGCTCTGTCTCTGTTTGCTTCGCTGCCATCGCGGCATCTAAAAGCCAGCCTCTCCTCCAATTCAGGACTTGGGGGATTTAGGTTTCTTGGTGTCAACACACCCTACCTGTGGACTCTATTTACCTACAGTTTAGTAGTATCTACCCCCCCCCCCCCCCCACTTAGTAGGCATAACCCATTTACCTGTAAGTAAACAGAGTTCCAGGCAAACCCTAACCTTAAATCCTAAACCCCAACCCTGGGCTTGACGGGATAAGGGTTTAGGGTTTAGGGTTTAGGGTGTAGGGTTTAGCGTTTGGGGTTTAGGGTTGTTTAATTTAAGGGTTTACCAACTAAGGCTTTCCTCCTTGCCCTAGAGTTGCTGGGCAAGGGATTTGTGGTTTAGGGCTTATGTTGTAGGGTTTTGGGTTTATTGGTTTTAGGGTGCAGGGTTTGGGGTCTCAGAAGTTTGTTTTTTTTTTTTTTGTGGGTTGCGGGTTGTGTTCGGGGTTTAGCCCCAAATCCCTAAACATCCTTCCTGACCCTGAATACCTGATGATCAGCCCAGAAAACACGATCCCTCAGCCCGAAAAACCTGAAAACCTTGAACAAGCCTAAGCAACCTCAGCCTCTGAACCCTAACGCAAATCGGCAAAAGCCAAAGCTCATCTCGACAACACATAGTCCCCTGAAGTGCGCCAAAGATTTCAGGGTTGAACCCCACAACCCAAACCCCAAACCCAGACTTCAAACCCCGAACCCCAAACCCCAAACCCTAAACTCTAAACCCGAAATCCCACACCGCGGACCCCAAACCCCAAACCCAAACCCCAAACCCCAAACCCCAATCCCCAATCCCCAATCTCCAAACCCCAAACCCCAAACCCCAAACCCCAAACCCCAGACCCCAAACCCCAAACCCCAAACCCCAAACCCCAAACCCCGAACCAGAAACCCCAAACCCCAAACCCCAGACCCCAAACCCCAAACCCGAAACCCCAAACCCTAAACCCTAAACCCCAAACCCCAAATCCCAAACCCCAAACCCGAAACCCGAAACCCCAAACCCTAAACCCTAAACCCCAAGCCCCAAACCCGAAACCCCAAACCCCGAACCCGAAACCCCAATCCCAAACCCCAAACGCCACACCCCAAACCCCGAACCCGAAACACTAAACCCCGAACCCGAAACCCCAGACCCCAGACCCCAAACCCCAGACCGCAAACCCTAAACCCCAAACCCTAAACCCTAAACCCTAAATCCCGAACTCCTTGGGCAGACCAAGGCAAGGTCACCTTTGGCGCCACGGCATCGGCCTTGGAAAAGGCGAGCCTTTGGCTGGAGGCCGCCGGGGTTTAGGGTTTAGGGTTTAGGGTTTGGGGTTCAGGGTTTAGGGTTTAGGGTTTGGGTTTTGGGTTTTGGGTTTAGGGTTTAGGGTTTAGGGTTTAGGGCCGGTTTAGGGTTTAGGGTTTAGGGTTCAGGGTTCAGGGTTTAGGGTTTCAGGGTTTAGGGCTTGATGGTTTCCGTGTAGGGTTGGCGAAGGTTTAGCGTCCAGGGTTTAGGGTGGAAACCATATTGAAATCTGAAAGATGTTTCGCGCCTGGACGCGTAGTGGAGCTCTGTCTTAAACGGATCCTAATGGGTACTCCCCATCCCTAAACCCTAAACCCTAAACCCTAAACCCTAAACCCTAAACCCTAAACCCTAAACCCTAAACCCTAAACCCTAAACCCTAAACCCGAAACCCGAAACCCGAAACCCGAAACCCTAACCCTAAATCCTAAGGGAGCCCCAAGAACGTCGAAGGAATACAAGGGAATACAAGGACCCTGGTAGGGCTTTTCCCTTTACATTCCTGATGTAGGGGTCAGAAAGTTTCCTAGTATTATTCTCTTAGGGTCCCTTTTAGAATGGTACTATCATTACTAGCATTATTCTCTTAGGGCCCCTTTTAGAATGGTACTATAAGAACCCCCCAGAACCTTATTCTACTTGTTCAGGCCTCTATGTTGCTATATTCTTGGGGTACGCTGTTTGGGGCTTCCCATTAAAATCCCTTTGTGTTTGTACGCCGGTCCAGGCCCGCTGTGTGTTGATTCAGCGCTCAAGGTTTAGGGTTTAGGCTTTTTAGGGTTTAGGCGGTTTAGGCGGTTTAGGGTTTAGGGTTTAGGGTTAGGGCGTTGATGTGAAGCACCGGGTGTAGTCCGGGTGTAGGGGCTTCGTAGATCCTTGAACCCGCTAGGCCTAGACCTCAACTGCTTTGCGCTCCAATAGCTCGAATAGGGAACCAAGCGCCCTAAACCCTCAACCCTCAACCCTAACCCTAAACCCTAGAATGCATGAAGGAGCAAGCCCGATGATAAGTGAAGGAATATGTTCAATCAAGGGGCGTTTGGGTTCTCTGGAGGGATACCCTAGACCCTAGACCCTAGACCCTAGACCCTAAACCCTGAACTCTGAACCCTAAACCCTAAACCCTAAACCCTAAACCCTAAACCCTAAACCCTAAACCCTAAACCCTAAACCCTAAACCCTAAACCCTAAACCCTAAACCCTAAACCCTAAACCCTAAACCCTAAACCCTAAACCCTAAACCCTAAACCCTAAACCCTAAACCCTAAACCCTAAACCCTAAACCCTAAACCCTAAACCCTAAACCCTAAACCCTAAACCCTAAACCCTAAACCCTAAACCCTAAACCCTAAACCCTACCACCTTCCATCTTCCACAGGCTATTGACTTGCTGGTCCTGCTGGACGACAGCCTGCTCGGTGTTGACAGGGTGGCGAGCTCCGCCCCTTGTCTAGAGTCTAGGGTTTGCAGGTGGTGGGAGCGGGGGGGATTTCCGAGAATAGGGGGTTTGGGGTTTAGGGTTTAGGGTTTGGGGTTTGGGGTTTAGGGTTTAGGGTTTGCGGCTTGACGGTTTCGGGGTAGGGTTAATGGACATGCCCACATGCTCGGAACCCTAACCCCCTCTTCGACCCGGGGGAAGGATCACTTTGTAGGGTCTGGGGTTTGGGGTTTAAGGTTTAGGGGTTTAAGGGTTTAAGGTTTAGGGTTTAGGGTTTAAGGTTTGGGGGGGCTGACCTTGCAAGGCTTGTCGGGTTTACAGGGGTTGAGGCTTTTTTACGATTAGCCGCGCTTATAGGCCAGGGGTGAAGGTTGTTTAGGTTTCCGACCATCAGTTGTTAGGAGAATGAGGTGCTTCTTAGTCTAAGGTTAGTTTCATGGTCCCTTAATATGGTCCCTTACCTCCTCTAAAGGGTTCTGAGGTATGGGCCCTTGGGTTGCATAGGGTAAATAAAGGGTATGTGAAGGGGGTCCCCTTTTAAGGGACCTTGTCGCTACCTTAAGACTTGCGGTATGCCCGGCGCCTTCAGCGGATATCATATGGAGCGGCTGTGGTGTTGGGTGTGAACTGTATAAGGGGTACATGGGTTCCCCCTAAATCCTGAACCTCGCTTAGGTCGAAACCCTAGGCCCTGTACCCCAAACACCAACCCAGATACATTGTGATTGAGGGTCTGCCTGTTTGTCTGTTATAGGTGAGCGTGTGTATATATACACGCACATACACACATGGTCCCTTACAGACACTGGTGGGTGTATTTGTATTGGGTTTCCCGTTCGGGAGACTAGAAATGAACTTTCATGGGCACTTCTAAGTGTGGATTTAAGTAGGGCAACTATGGTTAGAACCAGTTGTAGGCTTCTTTTAACCCTACTTCTTAGCACCTCTAGACCCTCAACAATAAACCCTAAACCTCCACTTATGCGTACCCATGAACCTCCAAGTACTGAGGCTGCCATTTCGGCTTGCGCAAAAGGAGGAGCTTGGTGGGAAGTTCGCGCCTCAGTGGGTTTAGGGCTCAGGGGTATGCTGGGCGCCCTTTAGGGTTTAGGGTTTAGGGTTTAGGGTTTAGGGTTTAGGATCTAGGATCTATAGGATCTAGGAATCTAGGGTGTAGGGTAAGCACCCTCAAGAGGTCTGGTCGTGATTCTCGGCGGCTCGGGTCTTTTTGTGCTAGGAAGCTAGGATGCCCAGTAGTGCCCATATTCCCCCTTTTTTTGGTGGTTAGGTTCCCTTATATATATATATATATATACATATACATACATATATATATATATATATATCTACATATACATATATATATATACATATACATATACATATATATATAATATTATATATCCCTTTAAGCAAAAATTGGGTACCCTGTTTAATCCTGGGTTACTGAGCATCCTAGGAAGGCTGTCGAGCTGACCGAAACCCCGCCTATATAAGTATATATAAATAAATAAAACAAATAAATAAATAAATATATATATATATAATATAAATCAATATAAAATATATATACATATATATATATATATATAAGTAGGGCTACAAGTAGGGTAACTGTGGGTAAAACCTATTTTTAGGGTACTTAGAACCCGTTTATCAGTACCCATGAACCTTCAAGTATATTTTTCTGCAGACTCCGAGAGGTCTGGAGCATGACTTGAAAGCCATGGGAGCTGGTCTCGAAGACTGGATTTAGGGTTTAGGGTTTAGGGTTTAGGGTCGTAGCGCCAGAGATGCCTCGAAACAACCACTCGGATTGGCAGGTTGCTATGGAGGGTTTAGGGTTGAGGGTTTACCTGCGCGGCACCCCCGCATCCTGTCGCCCTGAACCTGAAGCCCCAAGCCCCCTAAACCCTAAAACCTACAAAGTGATCCTTCTTCCGGGTCGAAGAGGGGGTTAGGGTTCCGAGCATGTGGGCATGTCCCCAAGAGGAGACACCAAAAGCTATAGCATCCCCTACACCCTCTATAGCATCCCCTACACCCTCTACACCCCCCCTCCCCCAAGACGCGGACCCTGCAAGCCACAATCTCTTAACGCTGCAGTGAAAAGGCGTCCTGTTCCAGAAGTCCCAAACCTCAAACCCCAAACCTCAAACCCCAAACCACGAACCTCAAACCCGAAACCCCTAAACCCCAAACCCCAAACCCTAAATCCCGAACCCCAAACCCTAAATCCCGAACCCCAAACCCCGCACCCCAAACCCCAAACCCTATATGCGTCAACCAAAGCTCCATAAGAAACCCTTTGGCCCGCCAAGTTGGGTTTAAGGTTTGGGGTTTAGGGTTTAGGGTTTAGGGTTTAGGGTTTAGGGTTTAGGGTTTAGGGTTTAGGGAGATTTTTCAATCTTCTAGACACTCCTGAAGACCCCCCCAATAAGCTCTGTACCTGATGCCTGTCCAAGCCCGGATCCGGCTCTCAGGCGCTTCTCATGCTCCAGGTCGCTTGCTGGCACTCAACTTGGGTTTCGGGTTTAGGGTTTAGGGTTTAGGGTTTAGGGTTTAGGGTTTAGGGTTGGGGGCTCGTACCCCTAAGGGTTGTACACCAAAAGGTTCCCAACAATAACCTGCCTTAAGGATCTTTAAAAAGGGTCCCCAAGACCCAAGGGTACAACATGAAGGGTCCAAGGTAAAACCCTAGGGTTTAGGGTGTCATACGGGGTTTGGAGGTTACTTTTTGGGAGCCCTAAACCCTAAACCCTAAACCCTAAACCCTAAACCTTAAACCCTATAGTAGAGTGTAGGATTTGAGGTAGGTAAGTTGGATCCTAGGGTTCCCTTCGGCGTCAGGGAACCGACTGATAGAGCAGTATTCTACGTTAGGGCGACGATAGGCCTAGAGGGTTTAGGGCTTAGGGTTTAGGGTTTAGGGTTTAGGGCTTAGGGTTTAGGGTTTAGGGTTTCGGGGTCAGGGGTTAGGGGTTCGGGTGATTTAGGAAAGGAGTTTGCCAGGCATGAACCGAGGGTTCATCCCAGTGAGCCGCCAAAACCCGGTTTTTGTTAAAGCCCGCCCAGATGGAGAACCACACCCTAAACATCCGAAACCTCCTTAAGCCTGTCATTATCAGCCCTAAACCCTAAACCCCTAAGCCCTCTACCTGTGGAAACAAAGCCCTATGACCCCCTTCCAAGACGTCACAAGGCCTTTGAACCCTGCCCCATCATCTCAACAATCGAAGCCCTAGTCCAAAACCCTAAACCCTAAACCCTAAGCCCTAAGCCCTAAACCCTAAACCCTCAACCCTAAACCCTAAACCCTAAACCCTATAAGGGGTCAAAGGGGGGTTTCCGAGAAAGGACCCTTAATCTGGATCCCCCCTGTATAACCCCGATGTATACCTTCTATAGTCCCTATATACCTAAGTCGCCCCCAAATAATACATAACCCCTAAGGTCCCTTGTAAGTGTTCCTCCTTTAGCGCCTTGAACCCTAGACCACTAAAACCCCAAATCCAAAAAGCAAACACCCTAAGCTCCGCACCCTTGAAGTCTCAATCGGGCTTAGGAAGGTGTTTTGGGTTCAGGGTTTAGGGTTTAGGGTTTAGGGTTTAGGGTTTTGAGAAGAGGTTGTGCTGGGGCCTTATGCTTTTGGCTTCTAAAGGTTTCGAGGCTAGTAGAGGGGTCGGAATCGTTACTAAGAAGAACTCCCTTTTGGTCCCTTCGTAATTATACTATACTCACCCCCCACCCGCAAAAAAAATCAATAACAATACCCTATTCTAATTATTAAGGCCCCTACGTTATGTACGGCAGGGTGGAGGGCTCGAGGCCCAGAACATAGTGGAGTCTTGCGGGGGGAGGGTCTGGAAAACACGGTGCCGGTAAGGACATGGAGGAGAACGACTTGGCGACCTGGCAGATACGCTACTATTTTTGTTCTTAGGAACCCCCCAAAAAACACAGAATATTATTCCTGATATAGGCAATATAGGGATTGTTGTCGTGCATTTTCTGAGGGGGTTCTTGTACGGGGTTCCACCACCCTTCTAAACCCCAAAGCCCTAAAACCCTAAGTCCTAATTCCCAAACACCAAACCCCCTAAACCCCAAATCCTAAACACTAAACCCAAAACCCTAAACCCTAAGCCCTAAGCCCGAAGCCCGAAGCCCTAAGCCCCTAAAAACCCGAAAGCCGCCGAGCCTAAGCAACCTCAAAATCCTCAGCCCTTGCAGTGGTTCGGGCTTTAGGGGTTTCGGGTCTAGGGGTTTAGGGTTTAGGGTTTAGGGGTTAGGGGTTTAGGGGTTTAGGGGTTTAGGGTTCAGGGTTAGGGCTTGCGGATTGGGGTTTAGGGGTTTATGGGGGTTTAGGGTTTAAAGTTGAGGGTTTGGGGTTTAGGGTGTAGGGGTTTAGGGTCCCCACAAACCCCAGACCCTAGGTTGCAACACGGGACCATCTTTTTGTGAGCTGAGCATGTACCATGTCCCCACCTCCTTCGCCCTTTCCCCAAGCCCCAAAACCCGTGCCCAAAACCCCGAAGCCCCTAGGCCCTAAACCCTAAACCCTAACCTAAAGTCCGTTTTCAGCCAGCCCTAAACCCTAAACCCTAAACCCTAAACCCTAAACCCTAAACCCTAAACCCTAAACCCTATAAGCAAAGGCCCTCTGCACTTTCGAGCTGAGCGCGGCGCTGAACGCCTGCGAGCGCCGGGCAGTACCGGCCCCTGGGTCTGGGGCCTTTCGCTGGCGGCGGAGGAGCAAAAAAGGCGTTTAGGGTTTAGGGTTTAGGGTTTAGGGTTTAGGGTTTAGGGTTTAGGGTTTAGGGTTTAGGGTTAGGGTTTCTGAAAGATTATGCAGGGGTTTATACAGGGCTTCGGTAGTGTTTCTGTAGGGTTCATGTGGGGTTTACATAGGGCTTAGGGCCTTTTGTAGGGTGTAGAGTATGTAGTGTTTAGGCACGATTTTTTGTGGGGTTTATTACCGCGTTTTGGAGGGTAACTTTTGCAAGGGCAGCGCCCTGTTGTTTCGGTCAAGTCCGGAGAGCATCTTGCCTCTAATGGAGGGGGGTTCAAGGGGGTTATGCAACCCAAGGTTCTCTAATTTTCCCCAGTACCCTAAGCTTCCCTAAGGCTTCCTAGGCACCTACCCCCTTGACACTCACCCACACACGCACCCACACACGCACCCACACACGCACCCACACACGCACCCACACACACACCCACACATACACACACCCACATACCCACACACACACCCACACAGCCACACACACCCACACACACACACGCACACACACACACACACACACACACACACACTGGGACGACCCTCGAGAGGTTAGTAGGTGTTCACACATGCCAATCATGTTCCCCATGTCGCGGTGGAGCCCTGTGTGAGGGTTCAGAATCACTGCGAGGGAAGTCCAGTTTCCGTCTGGGAAGCGATCTTGCAAGAAATGGTTGACTGCGACACATGCTTCTTTCATGGTGGATGCTTTCGACATGCAAGGGGCGTTGCCACCAAAAGCATACAGTCCTAGGGTGCAGTCAATGTCAATGCTGCGGAGCTGTATTTCTGCGAGCTCGGCAAATTGCAATCAGCGAGTGAAACTGCAGGTACGTCTGGCTGATCAGGCCAGATTTCAGCACGAACACTTGACTCTCTTCGTTGGGTCACCAGTCAAGGTCGTGGGTGACCCCCCTGCTTTTGCACCAGAGACTCCTGATGAAGTTGCCTCTTCAGAACTCTTTGTCAACAGAGCGTACACACACAGGTGCCCCTATGATGGGGTAGCATGAATCATGTCGGGCTTCATGTCAGGAATCTGCTGGCAATTCTCCGAATTTGCGAAATCGGATATCCCCGAGAGGAATACAGATTGACAATCTCTTGAACGTCTGCCTGTCTCTGAGATTCAGGAAAGCTGAATCTGGCAGCCATGCAAATGCGACTGTTGGCTGCAGCAAATTTGTGTTCATCACACCCAGCTGAATTCAGCGGTCTGAAGAAATGCAACGCAGAGGGCAACAAAAGCTTGACAACGCGGCTGGCTTCACACAGTGTCGTACCAAGAAACTCACCATCCGGAACAGTCTCCAACTCAACAGGTGTATTGTAAAAGTCCAACTGCAACAACTGTCGTAGCCATGTGTGTTCATGAAGATGTTCGGGATACAGCACGAGTCGGTTGTCCACATAACGATTGATGTAAATCTGGCTCAAGAACCCAGCGATTTTGGCTCGATTTGTGTCTATCCAGGTTTGCTCGGTGTGTGCAACAGCAACGCTTGCAAGCACTGGGCTGATCTGGTTACCGATGGCCGATCCTCGGACTTGTTGAAAAACCTGACCCATTTGAGTGAACACCGAGGTTTCTAGCGACATGCGACACAACGCAGCAAGGTCAGTAACGTCAATCGTGTACGCTCTTCCTGAAAGTGCTTTTTTCTTCCCTCGGAAAACTCGGAGCTTGACGTCCTTTTCTCTGGGAAAAATAGTGAATACATGAGACTGCTTGTTGGGGTACATCTCCTTGTACTTTGCCACCATGGTTTGAACGGAAGCAAGAATACGCTCTGCAGGAATGGAAGTGAAAAAGCCGATGAGATCCTGATTGGATTGCAGTATGAACTCTTCGACTGGTGTGGTACGAAGGAAGGAATGCAACTCTTGGAACATCTCTGGCATCGTCTTCAGACCGAAGGAATCAGGAAAAACCTCGTTCTGCATCGTCAATAACACGAAGGAAGTGCATCTGAAGAGCTTCGCAAAGTGGAACGCCCGATATGAGATGATAGGGCGGGCTTTAAGAAAGTTCTTCTTGGCTTTCAGCAGGATGTAACTGTTGGGAACAGATGCTGCAGAGTCAACGCCCCATCTGTACTTTTTGGCCAATTTGCTGTGACAAAAAGTGCGAAGATGTTCGGCAGCTGCTGTGGGCGTCATGTTGAGGTGGTTATACACCTGTTTGTCCGCAAAAGTCTGCGTCAACACATGATGATATAGCCAAGGACAAAAAACATGAACATGTTGAGCAGCATGATCTCGTCCGTGTACCACTAGCTGTTGTAGCTCCGAACGAAGGAAATGTATGTCCTGCATCGATAGAGGTACTCGTGCTTCTGGATAATGAAGAACCCATTGCTGCTCCAAAAAGGCTTTCCAATCCTGGGAACTTACTCCGCCTAGTTTGTTGTGCTTCAACCATTTGCTGATGGCATTCCAGGTCATGCGGACGTAGTCTTCGAAATCTGGATAAACCTGAGTTTTGGCATTGACCGACAACCAGAACTTGATACGGCGACTGAACTGCATCTTCGAGGCTTCAGACGCAATGTGCTCACGACCGTCAATCGTTACGACAGCAAGTTCAGGGTGTTTGCGTCGTAAGTCTGAACACGAGCATATTGGAGGTGATTCCCAAACAAACTTACGCATCCACTGGAAATGACTGTACAACGTGGTCGAAACGGAAGGAAACTTTCCTGCAACGATACTGCAGCAGGGCAGGTGAAACGGAATGAGCTGATCCTTTCTGGACATGACTATCTTCCGTAGCCATCTCTTAGCTTGCACTTTAAAATGTTTGTGCGCAAGCAGTGGTATCACCAACGGTTTGGCTGCTGTCGGAATCGGTCCGTTTCGGAAGCTGATCGCATTCTTTATCAGCTTTCTCACTTTGGACCTGGGAGGGTCTTCTAATGAATTAGCCAGGCGAAGCAATGCATACAACTGATCGATTGAAAATTTGCACGTTCGCAGTTCTTTGGACTGCTTGAAGGATGTAGAATCGGATTTAGCAAGTCGAAACAGAATGCACCAATTCGTGTCATTCTGAAAGAGATCGTCGGAATATATATGCAGCTTCATTTGTCCGAAAAGTCTTTTCCGGAGCTTTCGGAACAGTCTTGACGCCGGCATCTTGTAAATGGTGGAAATTTGATGCACGGCTTTGGACATACCTGTTTTCTTTTTTGTGGGCAACAACTTCATGACGAAAGGAAAGTTCAGCTTTGGTACCCACTTTTGAATGCAGCACGCTTCAAGGGTGCGACATTGCAGTAGCGAATTGCACGCATGCAGGGGAATGATCACAAACTCGTGAATGCAACCACGTGAGTGAAACCAATGCAAGCACAGCTCCGATGACACAGGCTGATTCTTCTGAAGCTGCTTGAACTTTCGAATTCTGGCATCCTGCCTTTTGTTGGCGCTTGTGACTGTGCTGCCAACGTATGTCAAGCAATCAAGTTGAAAAATTGGCGCTTTCGAGTCATTTAAATACTCGAACGCTGGCCGTAAAAGACAATATGTTGTGTAGTTGCACGCGAACTTTTCGCATACTTTTTCAAACGTGAACTCCGATGGCTTCCAGTATTGTGCAAGACGACAGCGCCAAGCGCGCACCCGGTTAGAATGATCATTCACAAACAAAACAGCAACCAAACACGAGAAGGCACAAAGAGACCGAAGGGCAACGCGAAAACGCCAAATATCCGGGCAATGCGTGGCAGCTTCTAAAAGCGTCTTGCTGACTTCAAAAATCTCTACGGCGAACTTTGGCAACTGTCTGCGTAGCGACTTTCTGTCTGTTTGCAACCGATCAGATAGTCACTCGGCTAAGGCAATAGCACTGCAGATGATTTTCACAAGTTCTGTTGTTTTAGCTTTGGACGCTAAGCTAATGGGTAGGCCGTACGCTGCTGCTTTGTCTGGGAGCTGGTTGGCATCCGGCTTGGGCAACTCTTTGACTGCTTTCTGGATGCCTTTGAAAGCTCTTTCGAGCCTGGATCTGGTATCCTTGGAGATTGGAAGGCTCTTAACCCACTTGTCCACAGCCGTTGGTGTTATGGCATTGGGGCTGTTGCTGGCTAGTGTTCGGGCGACAGGCTCTGTGTCGAACGTGGTGGCTGCTGTAAGGAAGTCCGTTGGTTCTGCAACCGGTAGCTGTTTGTCAAACCCTCTTGCTTTGGCTTTAGCGGCTTTGTGTTGTTTGGCTGGAGGAAGGTCTTGCGAGCTTCCTGGCACTGAACGTGTGTCGGCTTGGGCGTCGTCAGATTTCCTTTTCTTTCTCTCATCGGCCAGCTGCTGTTCGAGGGCTTCGATACGGCTTTGGGCTGCTTCAGCTTCTTGCAGTTGAAACGATTTGATCGTGCCCATGAGCATGTCGACGAAGTGGTCCATCTGCTTCTTCTTTCTAATGTTGTCATTGCTGGATTGTGTATCCAGCTTGTTGTTTTGTTTGCAGAACTCATGCGCGATCTGGTCAAGGTCGATTTTTTGTTCTCGAATTTTGCTCTGCAGTGCTGTGAAGAACGTTGCTTCTTTGACTGATCTAGCAAAGATCAGCGATGTGAATCTGCCGTTGGCTAGTGCTCGGAGATGGAAATTGTCCCATCCTCTGTACGCAAGCTCATGTAAGCCAAGTGTTCGAATGTCTCTGCCAGCTAATCCGTGCTGCGACGCCCAGGCTGAACCAAAGATACGATCGGGAAACTTGAGGCCGAAAACTTCGTTGCTGTCGTGGTAGCCTTTGCTTTGCTTGAAGGTGCGTGGGAAGTCAAGGTCCTGCTGGTGCCCACCTTGCGGTGACGGCATGTCCTCTGACCGTCTGTTTGCTTCACGCTGTGGTGTTTGTGGAGCCTGCTCCCAGTTGTTCCACTGCCTGTCATCGTACCAATTGGATCGGCCCCATCGTTGGTTTCCATGACCATCATACTGCTTCCACGCCATTTGTACAACGATACTTAGTTGTTGTTTACACCAAGTACATTTGGTGAACAGAAGTCAATTGCGTGCAAGGATGTTTGATATTGATGCGTCTTACTGCATAGAAAGCATTCGTGCGCGTGAAAACAGACATCGAACATGCAGACTGCCACTGACATGCAACCAAACACGGCGCGATCGGTCGTTTTATGCTTTCTTGCTGAGGCTTGAGAAAACGGATTCGCGTACAAAGCACGCCCACCGACATGACCACAACATCACAACTGCAACAGCATGACTGTCGTGACATGTAACATGCACTGCTCTCAGTCTCTCGCTCTCGCAATTGTCTTCTTTCTGGGATGTGCAGTTATCAATGCTGACTTTTGTGACGAAGGTGAGACTCTGACTCAGCATAGCTTGGCTGAGTTTGTGGTAGTGTCACGTAAGGAAAATGGTGTGCGAATTTTGGTGAAACATTGTAGCGCAGACCTTTGCACGTACCACCTCGGAGGCCCCCCCAAAAAAAAAAGGATTAGACTCCTTGCCACGTACCCCAGTCCTCATCGGAGTTGAAGATCAAATTAAAATGTGTAATGTGGGCAACATCCTCCCTGATGCACCATCTTTTATCTTTGGAAGAGCTGTGTATGACCGGATAACGCTGCAACCATATCTGTTCTCGATGTGTATCGGCTGTCAGTGGCTTGTAGTGCGATCCCTTGGCAACTCCTTGTATCACCACATTGCACTGGTTCTTGCCGTGGAAGAACATATCTGTAGCTGCTGCTGCGGTCTGTTGCTGCGTGGGCCAACCCACGATAGCTTTGCAAAAGAACCCTAGGCAAAACTTTCCAGGAGGCATGCCTACGCCATCTGTGGTTGATCGCAAAACTTTTCCACATCTCAATATGCCAATGCATCCTTCTTCGCTTGTGCCATGGAAAAACACATACTGCGTGCTTCCTGCGGAAAGGAGTGTTGTTGGCTGCGGAAAACCGGCAACAGGAAACTGCCAAACGACTGTGTTGTGTGGATCTTTCATCACAGCTGCTCTCTTCTGGAAAACCTTTCTGTAATCACATCCCGACGCCACGATCATCTTGGCAAAGCGTTGAACGACTGACAAGTCGATATGAAAAGTTGGATCAAGCGGTGTGACCAACGACATGAGATGCTGCACCACTTGCTCATAAGAATCGGGAAGTAAGAGAGAGAAAATCTCGGCTGAAGTTCGAAGCCAAATAGATCGATCCTCTTTTGTCTGAATCTGCAAAGGATCAATGTAATCAAATCTGGTGCCATGAACTGCAACGGCTTGGTTGATCTGTGTAAGAAGCGTCAACGAAAGATTTGTCGCACATGACTGACCTGAAGCTTCAATACCCGCATCGCTGTCAACCGCATTGCGAATGGTAACTGCTTCGTCTCCCCCTTGGTTGGATGGCAGGTGTGGCAGGGGGTGAGGTGGTCCAATGCCTGCAATTTGCCTTGGGGGCGCTTTTGGCAATGGGGGTGGGACATTGTGGTTGGCTTGACCGGGAAAAGGTGGAACAGGATGGGGGGGAGGTTGGAAAGGGTTTGGCATGGTGGGGCAAGGGACGGGCGTTGGTTCAACCCAAGGTTGCGGCGGTGGGGCAACCGGCTGTGGGGGGGGAGGGAACATAAAAGGCGGCGGCGGTGGCGGTGGTGGTAGGGGGATGGGGGCGGGGTCAACAGAGGCTTCTTCCACTTGGGGAAATGTCGGTCGAACAAGACGAGTTGCTCCAGGCGGCGGCGGCATTTCCGGAGGTGTAAACATTGAAGAGTCTGCAAACTGAACAGCTGCATCATGCATGTGAAACAACTGCGCGTCAAACTGCATGTTCTGAGGACCATCAAAAGGAACAACCTGTGGCTGTTGTGGACGGTCAAACTGCATATATGGGCTCTGTCTATGAGCTCTTGGTGGTCTCGGTGGTGGAGCATTCGATTCTATGCCCGGTGGCAGTGCTGGTCTTCTCGGACCGCTGAATCTTGCCGGGCCCTCTGCATACGATGGAACAGTAGAATGCATATTGGACGCACCACCACCACCACCACAGAAGAACTGAAACTGATACATGGCTGTGGCGCGGTTGGACTTACGAGCTTCTCGTACCTTTGGATCAAGGATAAAGGATCAAGGATAAAGGATCAAGGATAAAGGATCAAGGATATTGAATCAAGGATAATGCATCAAGGTTCTCAGGTTGGTGAATCACGGTTTTGTGCATCATGGTTGGTAAATCAAGGATGTTTGTATCAAAGTGTTAAGTTCAATTGCTGGCCAACGAGCCTCACGACTGGCACTTTGACAGAGATCCAGCCGAATACACACTGGGACGACCCTCGAGAGGTTAGTAGGTGTTCACACATGCCAATCATGTTCCCCATGTCGCGGTGGAGCCCTGTGTGAGGGTTCAGAATCACTGCGAGGGAAGTCCAGTTTCCGTCTGGGAAGCGATCTTGCAAGAAATGGTTGACTGCGACACATGCTTCTTTCATGGTGGATGCTTTCGACATGCAAGGGGCGTTGCCACCAAAAGCATACAGTCCTAGGGTGCAGTCAATGTCAATGCTGCGGAGCTGTATTTCTGCGAGCTCGGCAAATTGCAATCAGCGAGTGAAACTGCAGGTACGTCTGGCTGATCAGGCCAGATTTCAGCACGAACACTTGACTCTCTTCGTTGGGTCACCAGTCAAGGTCGTGGGTGACCCCCCTGCTTTTGCACCAGAGACTCCTGATGAAGTTGCCTCTTCAGAACTCTTTGTCAACAGAGCGTACACACACACACACACCCACACACGCACCCACACACGCACCCACACACGCACCCACACACGCACCCACACACGCACCCACACACGCACCCGCACACGCCCCCACACACGCACCCACACACGCACCCACACACGCACCCACACACGCACCCACACACGCACCCACACACGCACCCACACACGCACCCACACACCGCACGCACCACACACACACACACACACCCACACACACGCACCCCACACACGCACCCACACACGCACACACACGCACCACACACACGCACCACACACACGCCCCCCTCACACGCACCACACACACGCCCCACACACACACCACACAACCACACACACCCCCACACACACCACACCACGCCCCACACACGCACCCACACACGCACCCACACACGCACCCACACGCACCCACACACACACACCAACACACACACCACACATACACACACACACACACACACACACACACACACACACACACACCCATGCCCACACACACACACACCACACCACCACACACACACCCACGCACCCACACATACCCCAAACCCCCCACACACCCACACAGCCACACACACCCACACACACACACACCCACGCACCCACATACCCCCAGAACCCCCCACACCCCCACACCCCCACACCCCCACACCCCCACGCACGCACACCCGCACGCAGACCCGCATGCACACCCGCACGCACACCCGCACACCTGCACGCACACACAGACAGACACACACACACACACAGACACACACACACACACAGACTCAGACACACAGACACACAGACACAGAGACACGGACACAGAGACACAAACACAGAGACACAGACACGGAGACACAGAGACACAGACACAGAGACACAGACACAGAGACACAGACACAGAGACACAGACACAGACACAGACGCAGACACACACACACACACACACAAACACACCCCACGCACACACCACGCACACACCACGCACACCCCACACACACCCCACACACACACACACACACACCCCGCACACACACCCCGCATACACACACCCCACACACACACACACACAAAGCACACACACAAAGCACACACACAAAGCACAAACACACACACACACACACAACACACACACACACACAACACACACACACACACAACACACACACACACACACAACACACACACAACACACACAACACACACAACACACACAACACACACAACACACACAACACACACACCACACACAACACACCCAACACACACAACACACACAACACACACAACACACACAACACACACAACACACACAACACACACAACACACACAACACACACAACACACACACACAAAACACAACACACACAAAACACAACACACACAAACACAACACACAACACACAACACAACACACAACACAACACACAACACAACACACAACACAACACACAACACAACACACAACACAACACACAACACAACACACAACCCAACACACCAACACACAACACACAACACACAACACACTCAACACCAACACACCACACACAACACACAACACACAACACACACACAACACACAACACACAACACCCAACACACACACACACACAACACACAACACCAACACCACACACACACACACCACACAACACACAACACACAACACACAACACACAACACACAACACACAACACACAACACACAACACACAACACACAACACACAACACACAACACACAACACACAACACACAACACACAACACACAACACACAACACACAACACACACCACACCACACACAACACACAACACACAACACACAACACACAACACACAACACACAACACACAACACACAACACACAACACACAACACACAACACACAACCCACAACACACAACACACAACACACAACACACAACACACAACACACAACACACAACACACAACACACAACACACAACACACAACACACAACACACAACACACAACACACAACACACAACACACAACACACAACACACAACCCACAACCCACAACACACAACACACAACACACAACCCACAACCCACAACGCACAACGCACAACGCAGAACGCACAACGCACAACGCACAACGCACAACGCACAACACACAACACACAACACACAACACACAACACACACAACACACACACACACACACACAAACACACACACACACACAAACACACACACACACACAACACCAACACACACACACACACAACACACACACAACAACACACAACACACACCACACACCCAACACACACAACACAACCCACACACAACACCACAACACACACAACACACACACAACAACACAACACACACACAACACACCAACACACCCACCACACACACACACACCACACACACACACACACAACACCCACCACACCCACCACACACACCACACACACCACACACACCACACACACCACACACACCACACACACCACACACACCACACACACCACACACACCACACACACCACACACACCACACACACCACACACACCACACACGCCACACACACCACACACACCACACACACCACACACACCACACACACCACACACACCACACACACCACACACACCACACACACCACACACACCACACACACCACACACACCACACAAACCACACACACCACACACACAACACACACCACACACACCACACACACCACACA